CCCCCCCCCCCCCCCCCGCCTTAAATAATGACCGGTCCCTAAAGTCATATGCCCATAGTCATAGACAGTTTCTTGAAAAGTGGAAGACACATTTCAGACCAAAAAATTTTGTACATAAACCAGATGTCATGTATACAACAGTATTTTGAGAATCAGAAACTGTATAAACGGAAAAGTCCATAATTGTGTTCACTATGGTCTATGGTAGGGACCGCACGCATGCGGGAACCTGGTATTGGAATTCGCAAATTTTACATGCAAAATAGCACATGTTTAATGTGTGATAACTTGACAAATAAAGTATACTTAGTAATAAAATATTCGGTGTTTGCGAAAGAAGGAAAGATCTAAAAATCAATGTAATTTTGAAGTTCTAATGTTTTGTAACGAGCAAGTAATACGCCGCCGAAGTTTTGGAATTTTTGCGACTCGCGACGCCATTAAATAATGTGGCCCCGGATTCCGTCGTCAACACGTTGTCTTCAACCGTAAATCCGGAGTGAGCTCTGGGGTAATATAGGACAATTTTGGTATGAGAAGACAGCCCATGACCTCAGCTATCCAACGATGTCCTATTCTTTCGAGTTTTCAATACGAAAAGATTATCTTATGCGAAATACAACTTTCAATTGCGATTTTCAACTATTTCTGGTGTATAATGTCAGAAGAATCAGGTGTACAGTTGAAATCTTTGCAATCTTAGCTTTTATTTGCTATAATAATTGTAGTATAAGGAAGCGGAGCTCAGCCCGGATTTTTATTTAAACTTAGGCATTTGGATTTTGGAATTTTTACGGCGCCATTGCAAGCCTCGTGGTGTGGTAATTGTTGCAACCTCAGTGAGTAGGATATACGCTTTAAATATTGATCATGGAGCGAAGCCTGGCTAGTGGAAAGGTGAGAACAAAGTCTGTTTTAATTTGTTGATCGAAATATTTGAAATGAGTAGTCACTAGTCACAATATGTGAAATGGTAGAGAAGGCCCTGTACTGGCAGTACTGCTGCTGGCCTACTTGTACTGGACAAAAAATATCACCCTACTTTATCATATTTGCAACTGCAAGCAGACAAGCTAAGCTTTAAAAAACCCAGGTAGCAGTTGCAGTATTGTTTCCGATCTGTATTTGACAAGCGACAAAGAAAAAGGCTTTGGGGAAGAGTGAGAAAAGATTGCTGCTGGGTATAACTACTGAAATTCTAAATAATCCAGCACAGGCTGCAATTGTTATGCCGGTCATTATAACTAATTAACTAGATACCAAAAAATTATATTTCTTTTTTCTTTTTTTTACAAATTTAGGAAAAACATGGTGCATGAGATAACTGTTCATATACAATACAATACCATGGATTGACAGGGCGAATGCATGTAACAAATATGACTTACATAAATTAATCAATGAAACAGTAATGCAAGAAGCTACCTCACTTAGAGCTAACAGTCCATTTGTAATATGTAGCTCAGATATTTGTGTCATAATCATATTTATTTTTTGTAATTATTGCGTTGAAAAAGTATTTGTATTTGTCTATTATGTTGTATGTTACTTAAGTACAGTATATCATGTTGAAAATCACTATGCTATAAAGTGACATCATTAAATCATTAATGATGTCATAATCTGCTGTGTTGTCATGAAAATGGTGATTTTGAAATGCATGCATGCTACTTATTGTATGGAGTAATGGAAATGGGAAAATGTTTTCAAAATCAGTCATTAGTAGATGCCGAGCTAAAGATCTGCATAAATTTTAATTAAAGCGAATATAAAGTTATGATGTCACAAGTTACCATAGTAACCACAAGTTAACATGGTAACTAAAAAGTTATCTGTGAAACATTGTATGATCCAGCAATCTTCCATATAGGCCCTCTTTAAGAAAAATATTTGTTTTAAAGTGAAAAAGTGTGTTTATATGAATGCTATTGTTTAGGTTTGTGACATTGTTACGACATCACCTAGTTTCCATGGTAACGCAAATTTGAATGCCTTTGTGTACTATTATTGTCAACTTGTATCATACAAGGTTTAAAATCATGTCTGAGATGCTATTTGTCAGTAATAAATTGGCTAATCACACATTTCACATAATTTATTGTATTTTGATGACGTCATACGGTTGCCATGGCAACGGTAAGTGTTCATTTGTTTCACCATTTTGTAGGTTTGGGTGTCACCAATGTACTCTGAAAATTTCGTTTTGATCAGATGAAACGTCTAGGAGTTATAACCAAAAGGGTTAAAAAACGACTTCGAAACAAGCGTTTTGGTGCCACATTATAAATTCATTTCTAATACAATTCTCTAATGTCAGTCTTCCAAAATATGGGCGAAAATCCCGATATTCAAATTGCCATAACTTTTGATTCCCTGGCCCGATTTTGATAAAATAAATACCAAAACTTTCAAATGGCAAGCTCTATGAATCCAAGCTATTTTGGGGGTGCCTATGTTAATTTAAAATTTTGACTGCTGCCCCTATCTATGGCAACAATGGCATTTCAAAAAATGGCTGCTAATTTGCATTTAAACTAGTTTAATTCGGAAAACAACGTCAGTGACCCCAATTTTTATTTTATTAAAAGTTTTTTCCAGTATGAGCAATCATCAGGACAATATTTAAAAAATTCGGTAGATCCAAAATTTCTCAACTAAATTAATTTTAATGCAAATTAGAAGGCATTTTGAAATTTCATTGTTGCCATAGCAACCATGGTTACGCATTTTTTGTTGCAGTTTCCTACTCTCAAAAATCAAAATGCTATTCCATTTAGTTTCATTCCTCTAGCAAAATATCAATGAACACTAAGATTTTGGATCAGAAACGTGTGTTTTCTACTTTTCAAGAAACTGTATGGAGCCACCTTAAATGCAACACAACTAAGAGTTAATAAGGAGCCCCATAGGCATAGGTGACAATTAAATCCATTTCACAATTTTCTTGTTAGTTTTACCATGTGTGTTTTACCGTTTTAGATGGTTTTACTGGTCGTTGTAGATCGTTTTAGATGGTTTTAGGTCGTTTTAGATGGTTTTAGGTCGTTTAGATGGTTTTAGGTCGTTTTAGGTAATTCCTTGTTTTAGTAACTACGGTAGTTGAATATGAAAATTAATTCTATATTATTTATGTCTTTTTACTACTGTATATTCCTAATAGGTGAAGTGCTCAAACGACGGTGGAAGAACCTCCCAGATGGAATGATGCGATGCCTGAAGAAAATAAACGAGGGCCAAAAGTCTGGTGCAGGTGCTTCAAAAATACCAACATGTAAGCTATTTATTTGACCAACTTTTGTTCCTATGTGATTTTGTATCAAGCCGAGAAACAACTAGTAATATCACCTTGCCAAGTGCAAGCCCAGTTAATGATTCAATATGTGAAGACAATCCAAATCATAATATCCAACCATCCACAGAAGCATCAACGCCGAAAGAAAAATTTTCAACACCAGATGAGAAATCAGCAAAACGAAAATTATACCTTCAAGATAGTGGAACTAAGAATAAACCTGTGTTTATATAAGAGTAAACTTGCTGATAGACAGGATAAAATTAACTTATTGCTTGTAAATGCAACCAGAACGATAATTGGGGGGCCCATATTCATATATCCGTGTTCTGCTTTATTAATTTTTTTTTAAATCAATTGTTTTCATGGTATGTGAACACGAATATATGAATATCCCAATTATCGTTCTGGCTACAGCACTGTAAATGCCCTCTCAAAAACCCAAGACCAAACTAAAGAAAATAGCAAAAGCTCAAAAACTTCAAACCAGTTGTTTATCACATTGTTGAAATACTGGACAAACTACCACCAAAGAAAAATAGGATGGCAAGAGTGGAAATACAGCAAGTTCTGATGAAATATGAGTTTGATATTGATGACTGAACCAAGCAAGTCATGAAAAAATTGTTGTGCAAGTTTCTATATATTCCTTTTTGAATATACTTATTGTTATAATATAATTATTTTTATCATAAACAAAAACTTTGAATATTCATTGTTGTTATTTTATGTACAACTGTACAATACATTTTAATTAAAATTACATTTAAAAAAAAACAAACTGTATTTTATGGATATAATTTAGAATATAATGCATTTTCAACTATTCTTCTTGCCTTTGAAAAACAGTAGTTGGCAATTCTTTCAGGCAACCGTATTTCTCTTGGGTAAGGTTTGATCATATATGGTTTTAGTGGAAAAGCATCATGCCCAACAAAAACGTATGGACATTCTGTACTTGATTGTGGCAATAAGCTTGAAGGGGGGCACGTTTAACAGCTTCTTTTTCATTGCTATACCAATTTGCCCACTAGAAAAGACACTCCTGTTACTTAGCCTTCCGTAATCACCCACGTCTACCATAGTAAACTTGTAATTTGCATCAACAACAACCATGAGTATTATACTGTGGAACTTTTTATAATTGAAAAACATAGAACCACTTCTGGGAGGACATTGAACTACAATGTGCTTTCCATCTATTGCACCTACACAATTAGGAAAGTTCCATCTTTTTTCGAACTCTTGGCTTTTTTTCACCCATTCAGCGGCAGTTTCTGGAACATGCAAATAGTCATTGGCATATAAAACATCCCACAGAGCTGAACATGTAAATTTTACTATTCGTCCCACCGTAGTGTCACTTAATCGATAGCTAGCGGCAATCGTTGAAAATGCATCCCCCACTCACTAAATGTCGCAATGTCACAGAAAGCCTTTCACCAGGACTAATAATAGCCTCTCTTCGGGCATTTACGCGTAATATTTTCGGCCCAACAAAGCCAAGTAATTCTTCTTATTTTTCACCCTGCTCGGTTTCCTTTGTTCTTGTCGGGGAATATATTCAATATTCCCCTCTAATCAATTTCCGTTTAATAATCCCCTCTAATATTCACCTGCAATTAATAATCCCCTCTAATATTCACCTGCAATGTCTTTGCAACACAAAAAATGAGAAAAAACAACATCACGAAGGCAAAATGACATTGAGAATTATTTCTTTTCTGACTCATTAACGCGACCTCGCAGTGTGAAAAATAAGTACGTTATTTTGAGGCACCTCGGGGATATAAAACCACAAAATAACCTATACATATTGTGATGGTGACATACGAAACATTCGGAAAAAAAATTGCTATCAAATAGCATTGCTTCCTGAACAAGAGTGTAGTATTCACCTCTAGTTTTTCTTTCTTTGTTTTTTGCTCGAACCCAGAATCTCTTTTTGTACTTTTCCCTTCTTAAACACCGTCGTAAAAGAATCAACAAAAGAAGCCGACGTCTATTTAAGGCTGCCATTTTGATTTTGTTTTTCCTGCCATGAGTGTATTGTTAATTCATATCTATTTAAATGGATATTGAAATGAGCCGGTGTATGTGCGCACGTTTGATGTCCGTTCTGCCCGCGAGGGCAAAGCAACCGTAATGGAAAACAGCCTTTATAGTGAAATGAGCACTTGAGATTGATTGCTTGTAAAATCGAAATATGGCAAGATCAGTGTCTAAGTTTGTGTTGTACAGAAAGATCAGGTATCACTGCATATTTCTATTGCAAAAGATTTTTGTCTGCATGGAAAACAACACCTAATAACCTGAAATTCCATTGTTATTCTATCCCTCATGTATACTTCTTTTCAGGTGGCCATTGTTTGCCTGACAATCACAATCGAAATTTTGCAACAGCAAATGCAGCGATTACCGTGTTGTTTTACCAAAACGTAGATAACTATATCCTCAGACTGCCCACTAAGTTTTCCGAAGATTTTTAGTTGGGGAAACGGGAGATATATCGCCCTTTTTTTCGACCACACAAAGTGCTCACTCATGGCAACCATGTTTGAAAAAGGATCATTAATAATATCCTATCATTGAAGTCACCACATAACAGAACTTTTCTCTGAGCAGAAAATTTGTAAATACTATTCTGAAGGTGTTCGAAATGATCAATGTCTAGTCGTATTTCTCATGAAGAATTTTGAGGATGTATATACACTGAACATATAAAAATATCACATTTGAGATTGAAAAATTATCTAATTTCCACCAAACAAATTCATCATTGCTATCATTATCTAAAAATTTAATTCCCTTTTTGAGGGATGATTTGATCAAAATGGTTATTCCTCCCAAAAACCTTCTTGCATTTTTTTTATTTTTCTTCACAACATTTAGAAAAGGAGTAGTAACCATCATAGATTAGACTCTATTATAAAAAGGGATAGTTGGTGTATACATTACCTGATACTGTAGTTGTTAGTTACTTTGAATGAATGCATTTAAAATGTTTGCCATGTTCTTTAGCTGCTCTTGAATGGTGTAATCCATGACATGAGGTACTAGTTTGCTCAGTAACATTTTGTTGTTGGTCTTGTTTGCTTGGAATAACCCCATCTGGTCTAACAAAGGTCCCCGGTTTTGGGGACTCTTATGATTCTGGTAATGGTGTGGTCTTTGTCGAGTTGCAAATGCTTTCCATATTTCATTCTTTGTTTTTTTGCCAATTGTCGGAACTGAGCGGTTAATTACATGGACATCTCGTGTGAGCACATGGAATATTAATTATGTATGGGAGGGAAAAGCAGCGAGAGGTTTATCAATATATTTTTTATATTCTGAGATTTTAGTGATTTGTTATTGTGACTCGGGTGAATTTTCGCAGATACATACCAGGGAGGCAGGCACTTTGAAACATGGCACCTCTGAGACAGGATTTAGAGATATTGTTGTTATATTCAATGATTTTTCAGTGAGTTTAAACACGATTATTTATGACTGGGAGACAGCAACGCGACGTCAATGTTAAATTAAAACAACTTCTGATGACATGCAAGCAAACTGATTCCGTGCTCGACTCTAATAAAGATACTGCGATTAAACGACAGCTGGAGGCTTTAACAAATGAGGTAGAGACATTGAGACGAGGCATAGAAGGGTTGAAAATCGACCAAAAATTGAACAAGGACGAAGTTGCTATGTGGAATTCTCAAGTAGAGACTGAGTTAGAGAAGGCAGACGACAATGTGAAGCACACGGAGAAATGGCAGGTCGATTGCAAACTGGAAAAGGAAAGAAATGCTTTTGAAAAGAAATTGAAATACAAGATAAAACTACACGAAACTAAAACTCGAGTCCAAACATCAAGCGATGTTGGAAAGTGGAAGTTCGTTCGTTCTCTCATATCTGAGAGAACTTCTTGGAGACAATGTCAGTGGTGAAGATGAGTCCTTACTATTTACATCGGAAGGTTACAATTGAGCAAAGGCTAGATTGGAGGGAAAATATGGCAAAGAATTAGAGTTAATGAAGTCGTGTGTAATTTAAAAATGAAAATTAAAGCCCAGCAAATGACTTTCAGACAAGACATAACAAAATATTAAAAAATTACTGACTAACATTTCATTAGAGAGCTTACGCACGCACGACTTCCCTGGACGACGACGTCTTGATTACGTCATAATCGATGACGACGTCGTCCATCGCACAACTTTTAAATCGATTGTTAAGCATGTTACGTGGACGTCGTCAGTTGTATTTATTTTGTATAATTTTCTTTGTCGTAATATTTCTCAAAATGCCGAAATTACGAGTGGTTAGAGATTGCTTACTACTCTGTCATGATCAAAATTATATTAATGACGAAGAGTTTCTTTATCTCTATGAAATAAACCAATCGAAAAATCCTGATTTTCCATACTGGATTCATGATCGCTTCAACTTAGACAAGTTAAACGACAGCGAATGTGCGGCAGAATTTCGCTTCCTTAAAAGCGACATATATAATCTACAAGAAATATTGGGTATTCCAGATGAAAGAAGGTGTTATAACAGGCTTGTTGATGGAATTGAAGCGCTCTGCATTCTTTTAGAGCAATTTGCATACCCTATTAGATATAGTGATACCTAGATTTGGAAGACCAGTACCACAGTTCAGTATCATTACCAAACATATTATGGACCTGATCTATCAAGAGCATGGTCATCGTCTCGCACGTTTTGAGCAACCACTATTATCTCCTGCCAATCTTCCAAGCTATGCTGAAGTTATTCATCAAGCAGGGGCACCTTTGGTAAACTGCTGGGGCTTTGTGGATGGAACTGTTAGGCCAGTATGCAGACCTGGTCAACATCAGAGAATCTTATACAATGGGCACAAAAGGGTTCATTCAATAAAGTTCCAATCAGTGGTAACTCCCAATGGTTTAATTGCAAATTTATCGGGTCCCTATGAGGGAAAAAAGCATGACAGTGGCATGCTTAGAGAATCTGGCCTGCTTACCAGTTGAGAAGAACACAGCTTTTCCTCTACAGGAGATATCCTATGTATTTATGGTGACCCTGCATACCCTCTCATACCTCATCTTCAAGCACCATTCAAGGCAGCTGTTAGACTAACAGAGAAACAACTTGCATTCAATAGGGCAATGGGTGCAGCAAGGGTCAGTGTGGAATGGGTGTTTGGGGATATTGTAAACTTCTTTAAGTTTTTAGACTTTAAGAAAAATCTAAAGATTCATTTAGGTGCAGTAGGAAAGATGTATGTTGTTTGCTCATTGCTTACAAATGCTTGCACATGTCTGTATGGCTCTGTAACTTCAAACTATTTTAATTTAGAACCTCCAACACTTAATGAATAGTTTATATAAAGTAAACTGTATTAAAGCTAAACTAACAGGTGAAACATTTAAAGTTAGTAAGTTTCGTTCTAATGTTTTTTTAAATAGGAAAAACACAACATAATATATAACATTTAAGTGCATGCAATTTGCAAATTAATATCAACATTAAAACTTGGATGAACACACATAAGTTGCTGTTGTTGTTGCTGTTGTTGTTGCTGTTGTTGTTGCTGTTGTTGTTGCTGTTGTTGTTGCTGTTGTTGTTGCTGTTGTTGCTGTTGTTGTTGCTGTTGTTGTTGCTGTTGTTGTTGCTGTTGTTGCTGTTGTTGTTGCTGTTGTTGCTGTTGTTGCTGCTGTTGCTGCTGTTGTTGCTGCTGTTGCTGCTGTTGCTGCTGCTGTTGCTGCTGCTGTTGCTGCTGCTGTTGCTGCTGTTGCTGTTGCTGCTGTTGTTGCTGTTGTTGCTGTTGTTGCTGTTGTTGTTGACTTGCCATTATTTGCTGATGGTGAAGTGCCTGCTGCTGCATTTGCTGTTGATTCATTGCTTGCTGTTGTTGATACTGTTCCATAATAGTCTTCTGAAAGTCCATGAACTGTTTTTGCTGCTGTTTCTGCAATGTCATCTCCACTTCCCTTTTGTTTTCTACTTCTTTTTTTTTAATTTCCAGTTCAGCTTTTTGTAGCTCAAATTCCTTTTCAGATTTTTCTTGTAAATATACCAATGTTTCTCCTCCTGTGGCTCGTTTCCTCCTTGGCTTAGGTTCACTTTCCCCACTTTCAAGTTGTCTTTTTCTACTCTCTCCATAACTTTCCATTGCCTTAACTTTGAGCTCTTCTGCTTGCTTTCAGCTATTGTCTATCTTTTGCTGTTTTCCGTAAGAATCCTTCTCAAAATGTTGTTCTGCATCATCAATCAACTCAATTATTGTATTGAGTGCTTCATCAATCTCTGACTCTTCTGGAGAAATACCACTAGCTGATTCTTCTTCTCTTGTTTTCTTTTTATGGCGTTCAACCAAAAGCTTCATTCTGTTTCATACAGCTTTTTGGGTAACACAGAAGCGTATTTCTTGAACTGCATTAAGCTCATTTGCAATGCTTGTCCATGCACTTCCTCGTTCTGCTGACTTTGGTCTATATTGGTATGGTTGTGCTACTAAAACCTCCCGGCATAACACAATGTCGTGCTCCTCTGTCCATCTCATGGGCACACTAATAATGATAAAAATAGGGGAACAAATATGTAAAAATCCCAACCAGTCATACAAACACCAAAATTAATCATGATACTATGTATTGTACCAATACAAGGCATCCATTAATTTTGCAAAGCCCAAAGACCAGATGATTTTTATCAATGGAAGATAAGGCTACTGCCAGTTTATAAATAATGGGTTAATACATACACGTGTTGTAAATGTCTGTATGTGTCAAATATCTTAGAACTACATAATATTTAAAAAGAGTTGGTAAATCAACATGACAATCATGCTATTCTAGATTTCTAGTATGTATTGATTTCAAAATACTTGCAATAGCTAGGTTGCACTGTAGAGGTTAATACATATTACATAATAGAAAATTTGTTGATTGTAGGTTCTAATCAGTCTATAAATGACTATCGGTGCTTTGAAATTACCAACTTTGACTTCATGTGCAACCCACCTATCGAAAGGCAGCTTATATAAATCATATTAAACAGATACGAAAACTAATAATTATAAAGAACAAGAGGATACAATCCCATTTTCTGTTCAAACTGCACTTGAATAGTGGGGAAAAGTACATTCAAAGCATGGAGGAAAAGGGTTTAATCAGTCCCTTTCACCCTGTTTTATACATATTAATGTGTGCATGTATTAATTTGTGTTTACACAAAAGGCACAAAACAACAGGCAAGCAATATACGGATATTTCGATCACACACCAGTGGAAAAAGTATAGCAAATAACCACAATAGTAAATACTGTAAAATGATACTTCTTTCGTGTTGACTTTTCCGCCATTAAATTTTCCTTCGATATAACCTTCGAATAAGAAATGTTTTAGCGACGCCTTCGAAAATAACCTTTTGACGGTGTGGACTTGCGAAGGACGCCTTCAAGCCTGCCACGACGCATGCTCACTTCAAATATTACGTCACATCCTGTCGAAAAGTCGACGTCGTCCTTCAAAATTTGTCCTTGCATAAGCTCTCTATTGTATTGTTCACAACATCTTCAGAGCAATTAAACTTATTTACAAGCATGTATTATATATATATACAAATAGTTTCAAACGGTTACAGTATTCAAATAAGTGAATAAGAGGAAGGATGAAAACAACCTGTCATTAGTAAATTAAAGATATAATGGTTAGTAATTAGAGCTCTAGCAAAGTATTAGAATAGGTCAAGAGCATAGATATCTTATATACACATCTCTTTTAGTAAAATTGAAGCCAAGAATATTCCAGTGGTTACTCCCATTTGTATAGATGGCGGCCATGTTGGTCGTTCCCACTCGCTAATACACGCTTAAAAACAACAATAACTTCCATCACTTGAATAGTTTAAAAACGTATTTGGAATAGATTTTACTTAATGTTAAAGTTCCCTGTTTAAGAAATAGAAAACATACAAATGTTCTCATTTCATGGGAAAGACCTGAGACTGCAATCACAGCTTCAATTTTTGAATTGCAGAATAATTAGATACACTATCTAGTGTATATAAGATATCTATGGTCAAGAGGGGTTGACCTAATGTTGGCATTTAAAGTAGGATTAAGCGTGGAATTGAAAAGGCTTTTTCGAATGAGCAAATCTGCTTCAGAACTAGCAGTGGAAAGGATTTTAAAATCAGAGGGTGAACTTTGATGTTTAGTGGTATGGATATGAGTGAGTATGCCTGACATGGTTGAAACAGAACGTTTCTTTCCAGTCAAAGGTGAAACACCCATGTGTTCAGAGATACGCATGTGTATGTGTCGGCGAGTTTGACCAACATACAATGCACCACAGCATTGACACTTATACAAATACACCACATGTGATCTCAGTTCACAGGGAATTTTGTCCTTAAATGGAAAGAAAATGGAAAGACGACACATGAAGAAATGTGCAGATAGGCAGAAGAAAGAAATTTCTGAAGTTGTGATTGAATTTGCAAACCATGATGACCAGTGAAAGGAAGACAAAAATATATAACTTTTTTCGAGCAAGTATGAACTTTATCACAAGAATTATACATTTGATTTGATACAACTATCTACAAATGTTGCTCAATAACCATTAAGAAGGTTTTCTTGAATTTTTCCATTTCTGAGTGGAAAAATACATAAGAAGAGCAAATGTTGAAATAACGCGAGAGATAAGTGAGAAAAGTAAATGTACCTTTCTTGTACCTTTCTTGTACAGCATTGTAATTTTTATTACTCATCCTGCACATTGACTGAAAAGATCCTCCTAGCAAGAGGCCTCAACTTTTCCCTACCACCTTGTCGACTGCATTTTTGTTATTTTCTCACACCTTTTGAGAAATTATATGGAATCCTTAAGAAAGAGCCTATTGCAAAAAACCTGATCAATGGTTTTTAACGAAGAGTTTATTAAAACTAGGATAAAGGATATTGCTCTGATGGGCTACAAAATGTACATTCCGCCGAAATCAATCTTTTCCGATGACGAGTTCAAGATAATTGAAGGACTCCAGAAGGACAACAACATTTATCTCATCAAGTCAGACAAAGGAAATGGAGTTGTCATTATCAACTGCACAGATTACAACTAAGCATGCTTAACATTCTTGAACAAATTAACCTTAAGAAATCAAATATTTATAAAGAAACCACCCGCCGTGAAGCCACTGTCTGAACTCTCATAAACGACCTTAAATCTAATGAAATAATTTCTGAACATTTAAGGAAAGAACTTAACCCTATTGGCTGGCGACCAGGTATTTTGTATGATTTACCTAAAGTCCATAAGCCTAATTGCCTACTGAGACCTATAATCTCTGCTATAGGTACTCACTCCTACAAACTTGCTAAATTTGTTGCTCCACTTCTCCATCCTTTCTCTACTAACACTTTTATAATTAATGACACCTTTTCATCTGTTAAGGAATTGCGTGAGTTAAAAATTAATACTAATGATGTCATAATGGCCAGTTTTGATGTTAAATCTCTCTTTACTAACATACCATTAGATGAAACTATAAATATAATTATTAACAAATGCTTTGCTAGTGATACACACTATCATGCCATCTCTCACAATCAGTTTAGAGAATTCTTAAACCTTTCTGTTAAAAATTGTCATTTTTTATTTGATGGTGTTTTATACAAGCAAGGTTGATGGTGTAGCAATGGGTTCACCCTTAGGCCCATTGTTTGCTAATATATTCCTATCTTTTCATGAAAAATCCTGGTTAGCTGACTGCCCTTCTGTTTTTAAGCCTATATTCTACCGTTATATATATATATATATATATATATATATATATATATATATATATATATATATATATATATATATATATATATATATATATATATATATATAATACACACTTGTAAATAAGTTTAATTGCTCTGAAGATGTTGTGAACAATACAACGAAATGTTAGCCAATAAATTTTATATATTTTGTTAAGTTTAGTGAGAAACTGACATATTGTGTCCAATCCCTGCACTCCCTCAAGAAGCTGGACAAAGTGAAGGGTCTTACTATTGTTACCATTAAAAAGTTGCCAGGTATATGGGGTGACCTTGTAAGATCTGACAGTGATTGGGAGACATGGAATTTGATCAGCTAACAAAAGCAGTATGTCTTTGGATACGGAGAAACCCAGTCGATCATAGTCAAGATGACGATCAAACAAAGTAGTGTCGAGAATGAGAGAGAATGTACTTCACCAATCAAACTGACAAACCTTGAGGATGCATCTACTGCGACAGTAGTGAGCACAAAACTGTTGAATGCACTAAAGTTCCTGCTGTAGCTGACCGGAAACAGATTCTGGCGAAGAAACAATTGAGTTTCAACTGTGTGGTTGGGACTCATTGGGCTGCATAATGCCAAAGCAAAACATCATGCCAAACTTGTCATAAGAGACATCATACCTCAATATAGGACTTAGTGCTGTGCGCCAGAGTGCCGGAGTTCTGCTGGAGCTCTGGCGGGTTTTTACCTGCCGGAGCTGGAGCTGCTGTGCTTTCTTCCCAGCTCCGGCTGGAAAATCAGAATTACTTATATTTATACGTCTGTGATGTTTTTGCAGGAAAATATGTAATACAATAGGACATAGTCTAGACATAGTCTGTTGTAATATGATTACGGTGTATGTCTTGTAAAATAGTGCCGAAATATCTATTTTTATTAGCTTTTTCCTGTAGTTCTTGGATAATGAAAGAATCAATAACTTTGACACTTTACAATAGCATGTTGTAAATTACTACAATAGATAATTAAGCTATTCCTGCTGTGACAATTATAAATATTTTCGCTCTTGTCACACATACCTCTTGAAGCCTTCAAAATAGCTAAATTGTAAAATATTCATGCTTGATAACGCAATATCTAGCAGGTCAACTTCGGGCTGTGATCTGAAACCATGTTGTAAGTCCCCATTTAGCAAACACAACAGTGAATTTTCAGATGAACCATTGCGCATTTATAGGTGGGTTGTGAAAAATGTGAGACAGCTGAGACTCTTGTTGAAAAGTTACTTTAAAATCCAATAGAAATAAATTACTTTATTTTAAACGCACAATAATATCCCGCAAGACGACAATAGGTGGCGAAGTGGTTAGCGCACTTGCCTTTCACCTCTAAGGTAGCAGGTTCAAATCTCAGTGAGGACTTCTCAATGTGACTCGAACCCAGTCCTCAATGTGACTCGAACCCAGTCCTCATGTGAAAAGAGCAAGTCAACGCTCTGGCGAAAGTCGTGGGTTTTCTCCGGGTACTCCGTGTTTCCTCCCACAGGGAAAGTTGACAGGGTGGGTTAGGCACATAGGTCTGGAGGCAGATCATTAATGAGGTATGGACTAATAGCAGCAGCTGCTCAAGTGCCATTTGTAAGCTCAAAGTCTATACCTCGGTATGCTTCACGTCAGTCCGGTTTTATCTATCTATTCATAATGAAACCAGTCACTGAAAAGCCCTGATAGGGAGTGTGCTGTGAAATATCTGTATCTCTGTATCTGTATCAATAGTCAGACTCAGGCCGTAGTCGCACCTAACCTATAGTATAATAAAATGTCATGAAGCTATACGTCGGGCATGTTGTTTACTTGTTTAGCCCACTTCTCTACTACATTATCCAAATCGATTTCGTCTGCATTGTCCAGATCTTTTTTTGCAATTCAATAGCATAACCTAGCATAGCTTATTGAATTGTGCAAGGCTGATTTAACAGTTTTTAGTTCACTGGATATTTCTTTCGTTTGTACAACAAGTTATTAAGTTAAAGGCATGGCGGAAAAGCAATTAAGATTAGTGACAAGATTAAAAATATAAGACGTATGAAGTCCTTGCGTGAAATCGACATATTTCGCGCCTAATGTTTTTCACGTGGGCGGTACTACTCAATATTTTAGCACAGAAACAAACTATATTTATTTCCAAATAACATTGAATAAAGCCTTAATTTTCCGAATATTAAAAACATTTGCTCGATAAACAACGTTCACTATTTAATATTACTTTTGTTGTAATTCTTGAATTTGACAGACACTGATTTGGTACTTGCATGCAACTTGGCAATGTGCCACTTATCTAGTTTTGCTGCCATTTAAACTCATGCACGGAAATGCCATGCCTACTGCCTATGCTATAAAAGTCTAAGATAATACGAGTGGTCAAACACTGAGTGGGCAAACATTAAAACAGTCTCATTAGTTGTCAGTTCAAATTGTTTGCTGTTACAAGATATATTTAATATGACAACTGCTGAGAAACGAAAACGCTCTGAAAAGCCTAGCGTCTGGGATCATTTTATTTAAAACCCACTTGATGGTTCAAAACCCACTGGCAGAAAATGTCGGCAAGTTGTCAGTCGTGGACGCTCCACCTCAAAAGCAAAGTCATGGGGAAATGGGCCATTATGGACTCATTTGAAACACTGTAGGCCATCTTCTACCACTCAGCTGAGCTTCCAGCAAACGTTCACACCTAGTACACCTTTGCAAAAAGATGGCGCAAAGGCAATCACAAACTTTATTGGAATGACACTACTCCATCATAGAGAATGAGGGCTTTAGAGAGCTTTTGAAAATTCTAGAGCCTCGATACTCTATAATATCGAGAAAGGAACTGACAAATGTTATTCCTGAACGTTTTTGATTTTAAAGAAAAAAATTTTAAATCGTTGGAGTTGTCGGAACTTTACAACGGACATGTGGAAGTGTGAAGGCCAGAATCGAGAATACATGACGGTTACCGCTCACTGCGCTGTTGAAAATGGCGAGCAAAAGTGCTTCGAGATGAAGAATGCTCTTTTAGAGGTAGGAGTTTACGGACAGCGCGCACGCATACAACATCAGAAAATCGGTAATAATATAATAATTTGAAGTACCATATGTTTTAATTATCTTTCGAATTCTAAATTTAGTTGCGATTGATGTGTGAAAAGTGGATAAGTGGGGAGGTACCTAAATTTCATGTTGGTGTGTCTAACAACGCTTCCAATGTGACACTTGCTCTTAAAAGTGAGACGGTCCTTGAGGCGCCAGAAGAGCTTCGTGCCCGGGCAATGGTTGAACCCAAAGAGTCGGACAATGATGAGAAAATCGTTTCCCACCACTAGCAGCCATACATGAAAGATCAGTGGGATGTTTCGCACACTTGCTTAATTAACCTTATAGTCGAAGTAAATACTAAATTCCCTTCTGTACTGCACTTGCACAAGTTGTCATTGTTAACCCATTGAGTGGTATTGCACCCTGATGCACCCTACTTTAGTATTTTACTCTAACGCCAGACGATTTTACTCGTCAAGGGGAGAACGCTGGTGCTTAATGGGTTAACTGGCCTATCTGCCCATGTGTCTAGTTAACCCATTGAGTGGCATTGCACCCTGATGCACCCTTCTTTAGTATTTTACTCTGTCTAACGCCAGACGATTTTACTCGTCAAGGGGAAAGCGCTGGTGCTTAATGGGTTAAACAAATTGTTAAACAATGCTTTGTCTGCCATAAGGGCCCATATTATGTTTTACCTACGAGGTTTACCTTTCATATAAGCAATAAGCCAACATAGTTTATGATATTGTTTTTATTGTATAGGATGCACTTAAACCAGATGTTCAGTGTGCTGTCACTGCAAACAAATTGTTACAAAAACAAAGTAAGTATGAATTATGAAAACAAAATCATGTTTCTCATTGACATTGTTCCAACGGTTGTTACGGTTCACATTTCCGTGTGGCATTGTCAATTCTGACATTTTATTTCTTCAACATATACACAATCAATGCCAGTTGCTCGAGCGTTCAGGGAGGCTCAAGATGCAATGCCTTGTGAGAAGGGTAAGACGCCCGGTGCCCTTGTTAAAAATGTATCAACCCGCTGAACTCATCATTGGGCTATGTTCAGGTAAATCGTGACTTATTTCCAGCATTCATGGATTTGATAAACTTATTTATTAGCATCCGAATAGCTGTGACCTAATTGACCTTTAGCTTTGTAACATAAGAATGTACATTTTGTTGTTGCAGATCTTTTGTGAAAAACAAAGCAGCTCTTGCGATATTTCTGCGCCAATTTTGTGAGTTCAGTCTTCCTCTGTTACCAGCGTCTTTGGGAACTCGAAGCAACTTCTGGAACATTTTGGAAGGACTTGTCAAAGTTCTCACCCCCTTTGAAGATGCAACCATTCAAGTTAGCAAGGATGAGGCAACATTGTCAGAGTGTATCCCTTATGCTCACACATTGGTAAGTAATATAATTAAAACAAACACTGACTGGCACTAGCACATTCGGGGCTTCTGGTTGACTGGTTGTTCAGTTTGGTCATTATATTACTTCTTTCTTCAATTTTTATTTTCCCATACTTTCTAGCTTAGATCCCTCGAAAATCTTCATCATCCAACTGACGATGAACCACCTGTTACTGGACTGGAATCGTTTATAACTGTTCTGAAAGAGAGGATCAAACCCTGACCTTACAAATTTCTACCTTCCTAAATCCAAGGTATACACAAGTCGTATAATATGATACTCGTATTTTGCTTTTAGAAATTTTTAAATGATGTCCCCAATATCTAATGATTAAAAATAGCATCTAGTTGTTATTCCCCATCATGGCAATAATAACAATATGACATTACGTATTCTCAGCAAGTAAGCTTGCTGAACGTGCCGTTAGCCCATTACCTAAAAGCATGAGTGACTTGAGTTTGTTTTATACATTTTTCTGCTACAGATTCAAACTACTTCTTATTGATGAGGTTGAGCAAGATGCCGTCTGCGAAGTTGTGTTAAGGAGATTGTTCAATAGCAACGCGAGAGCGTCAGGTGTTGGAGGTGCTGCGACTGAAGGTGAACCTCCAGAGGTTCATACGTCACACAAAGGGTCACTGCTGACAACACTGACGAATATTGTGAGTGAACGCATGGCCATGGGGAGCGGAGGTGTAGCTACTGAACGGCAACCATTCCTGAGTGCAGAGCAAAAACTTACTGCCTACCTGTCAGAGCCAAACAGCAAAATCAATGCTCAGGATTTACCGGTATTGCCACAAAAAATGGCGAATGGCCTGTGCTTTGACACACTTGGCTCTACCTTATCTCTCGTGTCCACCGTCCTCTGTAACCTCTGAGCATGTCTTTTCATTGACCGGGAACATTATGACAAAGAAACGTTGCATGCTTCTTCCAGGCAACATTGGTCACTTAGCATTTATTAAGTTTAATCACAAAAGGTTTTAAAACCTTTGACTTTGTAAATTTGTACTTAGAATTTTCTTATTTGTAATAAATTACCATATTCTGTTTCTGTCACTGCATTTCTTATTTTCTTCCACTTAATTTACAAGGGAAAACCTCTCTCTTCTGCAGAGGCTTTACATACCATAGCATGTTTATGACGACATTTTACATGATGCATCAGGGGAATATCAAACTGTGTTCCTTCGCCCCATGGTTCATATTCCCTTAACGCATGATGTAAAATGTCATGATAATCATACTACCCTACGTAAAGCCTCTGCGGAGGAGAGAGGGAAAACCTGGTAACAAAATTGAGCGGAATAATATCCGTCATTATCCAGTTACTAGGCAAGGAAATAGATATAAGCAGCCGGAGTCAAGACCAGAGTTTACATATGTAAAGCAGCCGGAGCTGGAGCCGGAGTTCAAAACTGTAAAACAGCCGGAGCTGAAAAAGACAATTAACATACCATTGTCTAGGAGATTAGTTAGGCAATTAGTAATTACTTAATATATTCATATTTTGAATATAGAAACGGTTGAAAGTATCCTGCGAGGGCATATCTATAGTCAACATCAAACAGTCTAAACAAAATTATTTTAATTCTACCCGAAGCAAAGGATAAGTAAACTCTAATAGGACCTACAATTCTACATGAATATTGCTATCGATCGCCCAGTTGGGGAATTATCTGTAAGTTTGTTTTTTTATTTTACTAAATTATTGTAAACTAGGTAGTTTATTTGTTTTTGTATTCACTTATAGTTGAACCATTTTTAATCATATTATTTACGAGTTTGAAAGTCTTGATTCGATGATCGAGGAGTAACACTCAATATGTGACAAAACTCAGCTGGAAGAGATCAAGAAAGTGGTATTAATACCAAGTGGAGTGGGGGAAGGAGTTTTCCCAGTGGTGTTGCTTAAAGTGGACAGAATTATAATGAAAGCACTGATGATACAGGAGCCAGCAGCTCTAATATCTCAGCTAAAGTTGGAGATTTGCTGAACAAGAAACTCTCGGAAGCTTCAACCAAACGTATGGAGATTTTAATGGGCTCTCACCTTACAAGAATGGAAATGTATGTTATTGAAACTACAGCGAAACTGACCGCTGCCTCAGAACAAGAATTAAAGAACACTCCTCCGACAAAAACTCAGAAGTCCACAAACATATTACGTCATGTGAACATTTTCAATACTTCCAGACACTACTTAACCTACCCAACACACTACTTGATCAGTTTGATACACATACCACAGAAGCCATCATATACCAAAACTGTACTATTATAGATAAATCTAGACATTGGTCATTATTGTTATATAAGGAGTCTTTACATATACATCATCAAAAACCGGAACATAATCACGGAACGAAAGCCTCTAAGGAACTTGTGATCTTTAATTAGCACGTAATTTGATCCGCTTAACTTGTAAATATATATCTTGGTATTTTTCAATAGCGTCATTCCTGATGATGACTGAAACATAGTCGAAACATTGAATAAAATGTTAACTATTTTCGGAGTGTCTATTGTTTTGTTCTTTTGAGAGAGATGTGCTACAGTTTCATTGGTATCGAGATGATCTGTCACCATTGGAGACCCTACGGTTTACAAGAGTCTTATTTGGTGTTGTACCCTCACCTTATCTACTCCATGGTGTAATCGAGACCCCATTTAGACACCTGGTCCAAAACTTATCCTGAAGAAGATGTACGTCGAAGCATGTATGTGGACAATCTACTAAACGGTGGTTCAACAGTGGAGCAAGCTAAGACAAAGAAATTTTCTGAGAAATTTTACAGGATGCTACATTTGCTCGATCTCTGATTAATCTTTTGGCCTTTGAATATGCGTTTAGTCACGAGCATTTGGTGGAAAATTCGGAGACAATGCCCGATAATTGAAAATTAAACGAGACTTACCTGGAAGTTGAAGTTTGATTGGAATTCTATGAGTCATAACACTGCATCTAGGGATCACATGAGATAGCAAGCATGCATGCGCCGTCAGTTTTTAAAGTTCAAATGTGACTGTATCGCGTAAGAAAGATGTAACATGAATATGTTCCAATGCACAATTAAATGGTTTATTACTGTCTATCCAGTTTCTCTAGTTGATGCCCTATAATAAAATAGGGTTGGGAATGTTGGGAAACCAACAGGGCGGGCATGTGATCCCTAGATGCAGTGTTATGACTCACAGAATTCCAATCAAACTTCAACTTCCAGGTAAGTCTCATTTAATTTTCAATTCTATTTCGTCATCACTGCATCCGGGATCCCATGAGATTTCAAAGACAACATTCACATGAGAGACGATAGCAACAGTCTTTAATGTAACAAATCCCACAATAACATATCAACAATTAATGTGGAGACAACTCCAACATTGATGAGAATATATAGTACCTATTTGACTCATTTAGAGCTCAGAACAGCAGTAGCAAATATTTGTTCATTGCTGACAATGTGTTTGTGATAAAACTTATCAAAAGTTCGCGACAAGGACCACCCTGCCTTATTGAGGATGTCCTGAATAGGAACCGAGGCTGCTTTAGCCTTTGAAGTCGCAGCAGCTCTGGTACTGTGCGGTTTAAAAATCTGAACATCGACTCCAGCATTTGTCATGGTTTGACGTATCCATCTAGATATAGTCTCTCGAAATTCGATGATGTGGTTTCATATAGCTGATGAAAAGTTTTGTTTCGTTCCCTCTAAGTGGTTTTGTTTGATTTATGTATGTTCGCATATGATTAAAAACACACAATGATTCATCAGCAGGAAAGGCATGCAGAACAATTGAAGGGGGTGTATACCCTGGTCGACTTTGCTTCACATGTTCTGGTAACAAAAACTCGAATGAGGATTCATCCTGTTTCATAAGAGTTATATCAAGCATGTGTAGGCTTTGCCCTCTTTGGGCAGAAACCAGAGCAACCAACATAAGCAATTTCAATGAAAGGGTCTTGAGATCCAGGTTGTTAGCAGTTCCAAGAGAAGATACATATGTTAGTACTGGTTGTACATCCCAAGTAATTTGATACTTTGGCCTTGGGGGGTTGGACCGGTAGATGCCTTTCATGAATCGTGAGATAATCGGATGGCTTCCTATGGTAGTGGTCCCTTGACGTAGTATAATGGCTGAAATTGCACTTCTGGCTGTGTTTATTGTTGTGTATTCAAGATCTTGGTTATGAAGGTGTACCAAAAAGTCTAGCACAATGTTCAAAGGTGGATTGTAGGGATTAATCTCCCATTCAGCACAAAATCGGTGCCACTTGGTAATGTACGGTTGGTATTGTTTCTGGGTACCAGCAGACCATGACTGGAGGATGATCGCAGTAGCGTCATTTGAAATTCCTCTGTGTTGGAAGCTTTGCCAGAGACTTTGCAAGCCATTAGACGTAGTTGATGTCACAGTGGGTGAAGATCCCCATTGTGGGGTTGTGTCAGCAGTGTGTTTGATTGAGGAAGAATGAGCGGTTTGTTCATGAGCAAGTTCAGTATCCCTGTGAACCAGGGTTGCGTTGTCCAGATGGGTACTATTAACACTCCTGTTGCTTTGTCTTGTGTGTTTTTTTCTGGAGACATGTTGCTATCATACTGAAAGGTGGGAAAGCATAAAATAAATATGGTCCCCAATCCATATAAAAAGCATCAATAAATTTGGCATCAGGGTTTATAGTTAAGCCGTGAAGCAAATAAGTCTATATCAAAGCTTCCCCATCTCCTTGCAATGTCTGCAAACACCGGGAGGGAAAAGAGACCACTCGGTTGAGAGGTTAAATACCCTTGATACTGCATCTGCCTCCACATTCTGGGACCCTGGGATGTGACATGCATCTTGGGCTAAATACCATTCCCAAATCTGTTTTGCCAAATTGTCACATTCCTTAGATTTTATGCCCCCCATTGCATTGATGTAGGCAATTGCTGTAGTATTATCACATTGAACTCTAACATGCTGTTTGGAAACATGTTTGCAGAGGGATCTTAACCCCAGTAAAACAGACCACATCTCTAAACAATTGATGTGGTATTGCTGTTCTGTCTGGTCCCATGGACCACCTGTTCTGGTATCACCCAAAACAGCACCCAAACCTAGGATGGAAGCATCGGTAGTAAGAATTACTGCAGGAGTGCTCTGCAAAATTGGTTTAAAAGCAGAGTCAATATTATTCACCCACTACACAAGCTCTAAATTAGACTGATGGGAAAGGGTCATAGGTGAATCAAAGTTGCCTTTGTTGGCACGTAGCACCAAAATTTTATCCCCTTCTAGGTTTCTATAATGGAGAGGCCCGAACTGTATTGCTGGGAGACTGGAGACCAGCAGGCCTATTACCTGAGCAACCTCCCCTATAGTAGGTTTATGTTTATTTAATAAGCTATTGCAAAAGGATTTGACCTTGGTGATTTTCCTAGGTATAAGCCTCACTGTCATAGACAGGCTATTAATCACAAATCCTAGGAATTCAATAGCTTGTACTGGATGCAAAACTGATTTCTCAGGGTGTATGACAAACCCCAATTGTTGGAACAAGTTTGTAGAATCTTCAATATTGTTTTTACAAGCTTCACGGTCGTAGCCTAACAATAAGGAATCATCAATGTGACCCATACAAGTGTGTCTTAAACCTCTCAAATGAGAGTACACAGGCTTTAAGATTTTTGTAAAAACCCCAGGGGCACAAGAAAGTCCATTAGGGAGACAAGTGAATTGGTAAAAGGTTCCTTGCCATTCGAACATAAGGAATTTCCTATCCTCATCCGCAACTGGTATGGAATAGTAGGCATCCTTAAGGTCAATTGATGCCATGAAACTTCCAGGTCGGATAAGTTTCACGGCAGTTTGAAATGTATCCATTTTAAAATGGTTGTAATCCACAAACTCATTGAATGGTTTGAGGTTCAGTATCATCCTGTGTTAACCATCCTTTTTAGGCCTAATGAAAATGGTGGATACAAAACTTTCTGGAGTCACACAAACAGGTTCAATAACATGCTTTGATAAATATTTCAAGATTTCTGAATCTATTATTTGTGTTTCCTCTGCAGAAAATCTGATTTGATAAGGCCTTTGTGTTTGTACAGGGAAATCCCCCTCAAATTCAATGTGATAATGCTTTACAGCATTTAAAATGAATGGGTCACTAGTCAGTATGGCCCAATTCTGTATAAAGTGTCTCACTTGACCAGCTTGAAAGGACATGCATGAGTTGTGCAATGCACTAGTTGATATATTAACTAAATCATTAGTGTTAGAATAGTTAAATATTACCTCTTGGGTTACTGGGATTTGTTGTTGTGGTTGTTCTGCCTTCTCGGCCCCATCGTTGCTTGGCTGGTCGCCCGACTGTGTTCTAAAAAAGGACGCTTGTAGTTGTACGACTTGTTTGCAGGTTGCCAAGTCTGGCCAAAACTGGTTGTCGGTTTATCATATGGTTTGAACCGGTAGCCTCGATTTTTCATAACCTTTGCAGAAGACACAGTTTTCAGCAATTTCTGGCCAGCCCTTTTGGCTTCCAACATTTCCTTAAGGTGCTTGGAGAGGTCATCCCCAAATAGCTTGGTAGTGGGTTTAATATCCTCTTTACACAGTTGTGTGTAGGGCAGATTCAAATCAGATTTAATGAACTCTCGCCTCTTCATGATTAAGTTCCAGTTTGCATTTCCTAGTATGACAATACTATCCATAAGTTGTTGCAAGACTTCACGAATGTTGGTGTTTTTGCTATTTTTAACATCCTTTAACAGCCTATCGGCCAGGATAGTTAGAGTTGATAACCCTTGCATAAAGGGCCCTTGAACTTTCTGAAATCCAAGATCAACTGTTCTGCTTTTCCTCGACAACAAGTCCCATATTTCCTTATTAACCATTACTGTTGTGAGGTGTTGGCAATTATCTGGTGGTGGGTATTTCTCACCCGTCTCTTTCAGCATGTCGCTGGAGAGTTCTCCTGTCAAGACTTGTTCAATAAAGGAAGCAATTTTAGTCTCCACATGTGGGGACTGTTTCGGATTCGCTAAGTAAGCCTGAGTCAGGCTATCAATTATGTCATCGTCTACCGCTGCGTCAGGGCTAGACTTTGGGGCCTCGTGCTCTGTGCTCGAGTCGAGCAAGTTAGCAACGATTGAGCTGACATTTAGGCTGTTTTCTGTGCCGTTGCCGCTTCGCTCGTCCTGATCTGTTGCATCAGATTGAAACAGGAGGTCTTCTCTGATACTACTCAACGTTTCTGTCTGAGAACGGGACGCCTGTGTGAGTTTCTTCAGAGTTGATTGAAGTCCTTGTAGTATTCCCGCCATTTTATCTTCGCTAGACTGTTCTTCAAGACCTTCGGCTTCATCATTCAGGTGATGGAATTCATCTTCGTCACTCATTTCGTCACCTTGACATTCTTGTGAGTTGATTTATGTAAGATTAGCCACAAACCCTCAGGTGGCTCCGGTCAAAATGAAAGAAAAAAACAAAAAACGATATAAGCATGAAAAAGAGCTTCTTCCTGACAGCGTTTTTGTGTCGCACTGATGGCGCATGTGTGCTTGCTATCTCATGGGATCCTCGATGCAGTGATGACGAAATAGAATCGTCCTACTGCCGCCCATCACCACAAGAAAATGGGATATCGCTTATTTAAGGAGAATTATGTAAAAACATTTCGTGTCAAACAGAATGTGCAAGCCAACTCCAAACTCTTTTTGAGTAAGAGCCTTGTGAAACAGCAATCATACACTGTCTATGTCCATCTCTCCTAAACAGATGGTAAAGTTGTAAAAGCAAAGTGTTCTTGCAAGGCTGGGGGGTGTTGTAAACATGTTGCAGCTACTCTGTTTCAACTACATGACTTTGTCGAAATTGGTTTAAGTGTTGTTCCTGATGACAAAAACTGTACTGATGTTTTACAGCAATGGAATGTTCCATGAAATATGGATACACACGGACCATTACTATTTACTGAATTGAAATTTGAAAAGGCTATCTTTGAAAGGGACAATAATAGTAAAAGACCTATTTTGTCTGCATCAAGAGGTATATATAATAAATCACTACATAAAGTGAACCAAATATTGTAAACTCACAAATATCATGTTTATATGGGAAGTCTTTCCAATGTCACAACAGGTCGCAGCAGCAAAATGTGGTGTTTATGCGACTCGAACTCACTAGTAGTCTTAAGCTGTGGGCAAACTAGGGAATGTTGTGGAAACATTTGTGATTCTCAATGTTTCCTTGAATGTTTCCCTGTTTGCCCATCTGTGGAAACATTGTTGAGGAAACAAAATTTGCTTCCCGAGAAGCGAAACTGTTTCCTAGCGAATTCAGAAACATTTGATGTTTCCCGATGTTTCTCACTAATGTTTCTTAGTGTTTGCCCACTCTGGGAAACATGGTGAAACATTGGCAGGAAACAATGTTTCCACAACGTTTCCCCTGGGCTTTAGACTATAATACTCACTAAGTCAACTAATGTATGCAGGGCTATATAACAGAAGAATAGACCTCTATTCCTAGGTCAGCATTCAAATTAGTAATGTGCAATTTGCACATCATTCTGGACCAAATAGTGAAAATTGCACATCAGTTCTCCAATAGCCTGTGTACGGCTCAAACGATGTGCAAAGAAACATCAGACTAATGAACACGCATCCGTACTTATCAATCTGCTGTCTTTATATAATTTATAAAGAAGCACTTTTGCATGCACACTAGCAGCATGTTTGCAAACTGGAAGGTGTCAAATTCTAGCCACCATGACAGACAAACACATGATAAAGAATGCAAACAATATGTAAAACGCTGTGGTTATAGGTCTGCTACGGTTATAGGTCCGACATGTATTACACATGCACAGTGTTATAAATGCACCTTCGACATTGGTCAGCAATCTTTAAGATATAATACTTCATGTCTTTGTTTTAATATGGGAAATTAGTCGGACCTTGTGTTTTTGCAGTTATTTATCCGACAGACATTTGTCTGATCTTGTGTTCGTGCTGTGATTTATCCGACATTTGTCAGACTTGTGGAATATTCCAGTTCAGGTTCGACATTTATGGCATTTTCTTTACAATTCAATTGTCAAATTGGGACTGGGTTAGTATTTATAAAATAGTATATTTCTAATAAAAACAAAATTCTAACATTTTGCAAACATTTTTGCTCAGACTATAAATTGTGGAATCTTTAGTATAAATTTAGTTCAAGTTAGACTTAGAAATTTATGGCACTTTCTTCAAAATTCAATTGTTAAATTGGGACTGGGTTAGTATTTTATAAAATTCTAACATTTTGCAAACAACATTCCTAAATTTCATCACATATACATCTTGTGAGCAATAGTATATATATAGTAATACTCATAGTTAGTTTTGAAAGTAATTATTTTATTAAAGAATTCTTTTGAAACATGACCTTGTGATGGCTTTTATGAGAATTTGAGTAGTGAAATTAGTCTTTCTCATGCTATGCGACCAAGCCTAAATAATCTGCCATTTTTGGGTGGTAAAACTATTGATTGTTTTATCAAAACCAAACAGATATCCTAAAATCAACTATATGCCACACAAAAATGGCAGATTAGAAGGCCTGGTCACATAGTGTGAGAAAAGCTGATTGGTTTCAATTTTGCACAGCAGAAAACCTCTGGATATAAAATGTAAAGCCTGGTTCACATATGTCTGCGATATGCCTGCAACATCATTGCTTACAGCTGTTTATGCATACATTCTTTTGTGAATTATTTGGTTGAACTGCTAAAGACAATAGCCTGCCAACACATCGCAGACATATGTGAACCAGGCTTAAGGGACCAGTCATTATTTTTCGCCGGGGTGGGGGCTGAAGAGAAACAATACACCGTGGTTATAAGTCCAACCTTTGTTGAAACAAATTTTCTTTTTTTTGTATTTGTTTTCGCTACCCCACGATTTTCTCTTCAGCCCCCACCCCGGCCATAAACAATACTAAGTATGTTGGGATATACCAAGTTATTTTGCTGAATTTTAATGTTAATGTTTTTTATTATTATATAAACAATTAAAACAGATATTTACAAAGCAGCAATTAGGCTATTATGTTAGATTACAAATTTATTTGTTTCATAACAACCAAAGCTTTTATGGTTTGGTAGATAGCAGTATGGTGAAAGCGTCGTTTTTGGGTATGGTCAGTTTCGGACGTTTCGCCCCGGATTGGGGTTCGGGCAGCGTTACCATGTTGACCGTCATGGTCAACTTGCCCTAAAACAGTTAAGATTATCTGTCCTAAATGAAATGCATACATACTCATATACAGGTCCTAGACTATAGGCAGCTTGGTCCTCCCTTCTCGTCATCTGCCATTCCTCCCTGGTGATAGTGCTGGGAAACTTCTCCAGCTTCCATTGGTAGAAGCTTCCCGAGAAATCATTAAGTTTCTTTGCTGCTGCTGTTGTTTTTTCTCGTACGAACTTGTGCTACAGTGGAAGATTAGAAATAAATAAAGGTAACCTACATTTACTTTTAGTTCAACCATTCCTCAATTTCAAAGTCTTGGTACTCACTGCCAACACAATCTCCTTGTTTAGGGCTGATGTTGCAGCCGCATTGTATTTTTGGCTAACAAGTGTCAACACCTTGAGGGTCACATTCCTGGATGACATGTTGGCCATTGCTCCATAACCAGTAATTCCCAGAAGCTAGAATGACAAAATCATATTTTATAATTGAGGTTAGTATTTTGTAAAATCTAGCAAATTCATTTGCCCAATTGGCTTAACCTTTATGATTTCTCATGGAATGAAAATATTTAAAATTTTTGAATTGTAAAAATTGTTGCAGTACCCTTCGATGCTCTTTACTTCTCCAATAAGTCATCTTAGATTACTCATAGGGCACTTTCCATTACATGGCCAGACCGGTGTCACAGGAAGTTTGCCCCCCGGGCCATATTTTCTAGGAAATTTGGCCCCCTTAAAAAATTATAGTTTGTTTTATCTTTAGACTCGGAAATTGTGAGACTTCTACTAAAACAAATTTCTAGAAATTTTTCTCAACATTTATAGTAAGTGTGTGTAATTTTTTTGTGTCAAAATTCTCCATTGAATTGCAATACTGACGAGAATTAGGCCAACAGCTAAAGTTTAGCATACTTTTCACGTTTGGTTTTGTTTTTTGACCAGCTTTGCAGAAGACAACGTTAATAAATAATGGTTGTATCATTAAGCTATGGAAACGAAACGTCATTCAAAAACCTTTGTGCTTTTGTGTGTACGGAATGTGTTTGTGAGCCATGAAGCATGCAGTCTACTTTCATTTTTACGGAATGCTTCTGTAATGCATCCCAACCATGTGAGTGATTATCAGTATACACTGTGTATATGTAAGTAAAATGCATAGGAAAAGGTTTTTTTACGAATTAACCACTCATGTGATTTTGTTTTTTGAACAAACGTGTTATTTATTAGACGCATGCATATTAACATATTCGCCAACGCATGATGTCATCGTTTTCTAAAGTGCGGTTGTTATTTTGAATTCTATTGGATTTTTCATTTTTTTTGCATCATCGTGATCATGAATAAAGCGCATAAACATTAGAATGTAGATTGATAGGATTAGGTGCCACTTTATGTAACGCTACACGAAGTAGTTGCGTGCAAAAGCTGTACTTGGGGCATGCTGGCTCAATCGTCATGGTTTTAAAACAACATGGCAGATAAAATTCAAACATTTCTTGAAAAGAACAACCTTTCACAGTATGTCAACAAGTTCATGGAGCTTGGGTATGATGATCTAAAGCAACTCTTGGACATGCAGTCAGAGGAAATTATTGATGTTTTGAAAGAAGTTGTGCTGTATGACAAGTCAGGTCATCAATGTCATCGAAAACGATTTCTATCTGCATTCTGCAATAGAAATTTTGAGTTCGAAGACCAAACGTGGAGTACAGGTTAAAGACATGGCAAGCCAGCGTACTACACCAATGTCGAGTGTTTCCCACAAAATGTTACAACTTGTAAGTATATATATTTTAACATGTTTTGCCTGGCAGATATTAAAAACAAAGATAATTTTGGAAAAACCGTAGGGCCAACAACAGCCAAAGATTTGTGGATTCCTAATCCTGGAAAGCCAATGAACTCAAATTTTACGACAACAAATTGGATGGACAACAGTCACACAACAATCATTACTAATTGTAATTTATTCACTGTAGGAAAATTTCCTCCAAAAGTGATGCAGAGATGAGAGTCTGAGAGAAATAATGCAAGAGAAAATGCAAGAGTGTGTGATGTCACAAAGATTATTACAAGTGGCAGAATCAAGTACGAGTCTCTGGAGAATGGTGCTGAAAAAATCTCTCAAGTAAATGTGTGTGCTTGAGCCTATTAAACAACTTAAATCAAGGTACCATATGACAGCATTAAAAACTTTAATTGCCAAAAATTATTTTGAAGATGATGCTGTAGAACAAGTAAATGAAATTGTAACTTCATTCGAGAAGTAAAAAACAAGTAACAAGTCAAAACAAGGTGAAAAATAACAGTTGTGGGAAAACAATGTACACTTGATTTTTTTGTTAAAAAATAATTGGAAACATCTTCTCAGTCTGACTCTATGTCATTAGAATCTGATTGTGAGGAAGGGTGATGTGGATATTTAAAAATCAATGCCTGTAGATGTGACTTACAAAATATTAATGATATTATAATAATAACACGATTATGTTTTTATTTCATTTTGAATTCACTTTAAATCTATTATTTTGTCCTATTGAATGTTGATTATTTTAATAGGAATGTTGTGTAGTAGTTGTAGTATGTATTGAGTGCAAACAGGCTATATGTGTTTCTGGGCCCATCCATTTGCACAAAAACAAATTCATGGCCCACCCAAACTGATGATAATAATTTCTTGGCCCACCCTAGCAGTTACTTTATGACCGGTCCCTTATTAAGGTGGGTTTACACTGGCAATTTTTGGTGTATGTGATCCAGTTCATTATATACACGAGTGGATATCATTCGACTCGGTTCTGTACATTTGTGCTGGAAACTTAATCTTATAAACCTCCATTCACCTATTTCATAAATTCACAGGGTAGAACGTGGCACATCAATAAACAGTTCCACACCACTTCTGCAACTGTGAATAACATCACAGTTTATATTGGAGACATTGTCCAGTACAAGTGGAGAGAACATGGCATTTCTTATGGAAAAGTACAAACATTTTTTTCGATGGCATTAAAAGTATTCTAGTAAACCCGGTTTCTAAAGCCGATTGCAATGGTTTATTACAGTGCACTATGTATCATTTACAGAAAGTGGACAACTTTGAAATTCATGTGCGACGTTATAAAAGTACATACCTTTCCTACACGTCCAGAATCATGGGTTATCACTGATGAAATGGAAGAGATAGAAATAAATTCCATTGGCGATATTGTGTCAGCAACATTAACATTCAAGGAAACAAATGGCCAAATAGTTCCTTTGACTCAAGAGGTCTTTGTCTATTTCCTGCTGCTTGTACATTGTTAACACATCAATCCATATGCATTTATATGTAGTATATAATTATTTTCCTGCCATTCTATCTGTTACACTCTAACAATTATTTTCTCACAGTTCTGTCTGTTCGTCCAGACGATGAGATCATTTTATTTTTCAGGAAATTACTATGCACCAAAATCCTCATCCAACAAAACGTTTGGCTGGTGACAAAGAGACGCTAACTCTTCCGATCGTGATATTTTCAGATGAAACAAGTGGCAACAAATCAAAGAAATGGAACAGACTGGAGACGTACTCGTTTTTTCTTGCAGACCTGCCAAGAAAAGATGTCACTAAATTTAGCAATATAAATTTTATATGTGTGTCTAATTTAGTGGATTCAATCACGATGGGGAAAGTAATTGCAACCGATCTAGCAAGTATGTAGTAAATCTATACGAATATTGATACTCAGTTGATGGCCTTTAATTACGCTATATTATTATTGGCTATTCATGTGACAGGATTTTCCTGTATTGGCAACCGGCAATACAAAATTATTATTGGCCTGTGAGGAAAACAATTAATAGCACAAGTTTTATAATTGATTTAATTTTAAACAAAAGCAGGAAATTAGGCATTACAGCCACATAATAAACCCTACTATCTTAAACTGTTCGGTCAATACAGCAAGACCTCAGTTTGAAAATTTAACATATACAGACTTCACTCCCAAGATATTATGATTTTGCTTTATACAGAACTTGAAGAAGGCATTGCAATGTATGATGCACTCACAAAAAAAGACGTTTTCGTCCAGTGTCCTATTCTCTGTGTCGTATGTGATAACCCAAGAGCTTCAGAGTTTACTCATCACCTACGAAGTTTTGCAATCCATTTCTATAGACATGTGACTTAGGTTTTCTAGATTTAATAATCAGTTAATTAGATAACACGGATCAATTACTGACAGTTTAAGCTTAAATTCTGAATAAACTTTAACTTTTTGTCTAATAGGCAAGAAAGGAAAATGCTACAGGCGACCTAAGGACTGACGCAGGAACAAGAACTACAGTCTCCACGATAATTAATGCAAGGTTTTTAAAGTGAGATAGTTTTACAAGTTTATCGTCATAACAGACGCATGTTCCTTGCTTACACTAGAGCTTGTCAAAGTAGCATGACAAATGATCACGCGAATGACCATTCAACAATTTTCAGTTTGACAATACACTATACAGTACTGCAATGTAGCAGTTGCACCATTATACGTACTGTACTGTATTTAGTATGACAAACATATCTTATACAGTACTCAAAATATGTACGCAATATGCAATTGTGTTGCATACGTTTTTTTACACATATACATGTAGATCAGAAAGGCAAAAGAAACCGCTATGGAAAGAAACTGGTGTAACTGAACGTGGTGGTCAATTTGATGAACTCAAAACATTCGATGCAATTGAGTAAGTTATGTTAATATATAATAACTACTAACAATAAAACATGCAACTTGATTGGTTTGTGAGCGTGCAGGATGAGACAATCCTGCACAGGAAGATTACAATGACTGTTGTGTCGCTTTTGTTATTTTATAAAGCAAATACTAAATGGTTTTCCATGCAGGATAGCGTTGATCCATGCACTTGGGATATATAGCTATATAGCTAGGGATATTGTTTTTACGCTTTCCGAAAACCTTGCAATATCCCACATGCATGGATCACACTAACGTGCACGAAAACCATTTAGTATCCCTTAAATCCAGTATATACTGCATAGAGTACAGCATTATTTTTTACAGAATTAAGGCTGCTTTCCACTGCATGTTACATTTTTCATACAGTACTGTATGTACGTATGAAAATATGTGTTAGGGGGGGGGGCAACTTGGAAAATTTTGTTGTTCTTTAAAAATTTTGTCATAGTTGTTGGTTCTTGGAGAAACTTTAATAGACATTTATCAATCACCAGAATTAATTATGAAATTTAATTACTTAATTTTATCGTGAGTGTGGGCTCCCCAATATTAATTTCGTTCCTACACCCGTCAATCATCAATCCTACTCGTCCATCTATGAGATTTGTTAATTGGTATGATGTTTCTTAATGTAGTATCGCTGTAAACATTTCCCCCTTGTTTGCATTTTAACTCCCCCTGTGGGCTCGTTAAAAACACGAGTAAAATAAAACATGTGTAAAGGGATATTGGTGAGGAGAGGGCGTTCTGAAATATTCTATATGAATTTGGGGGCGGGGCGGTCTCAAAAATAGTTTAAAATTTTGGAATTTCTCACCCACCACCCCCCTCCCTTAATAAATGGCCGGTCCCTTTTAATGTCATTTTCTCTGTTTAATGCATGTTTGTATGCTAATTTGTTAACAAAAGTATTGCACAATCTTTTGTTGACTACTGTGTTCGCATTTAAGCTTCGATGTACTTTTATTTCATTTTACCGTTACATGATTATTAAAAAGTATTAACTATTAGAATCTGAGTGTGTTTACCTGTTAATTAAACAATTTTCAATTTTTTTCTCTTTTTAGGCAAACACCTGTTGAATGTTACTGCATACAATATTACTGTTACTGCATACAATATTACTTGGTGCTGAGAAATACCTCTTGGCAAAAACAATGAAAGGTCTTTCACCTGCAGACAAGAAAAAAATTAAAGCCAGAATTGAAGTATTTGATTTCTCCGCATTCCCTGGAAAGGTGGCTAGCAGCATTACAACAATGTATGGCTCGTATGTTGGACGTGATTTTAAGCTATGGCTGTGTTCATACTTATGGATATAGTCACAGAAGAGGAACTACAAGTGTGGAGAAATCTCAGTGAAGTATGACATTATTTAAATAACGTTTTGCAGCATGCAACATAAAGTTTTCACTGATATTTAACGTTAGCTAGCATTTTTCATTGAAATAATGCTAATTTTATATAAATACGGACGAGCTAAATAAGATAATGCAATTTTGAACAGCACTGAAAAATCGTAGCTGTTACGACATGAGATTTAAATTGAAAGTTGTTGGGTTTCCAGTTTTAAAAGTTCGCATTGCTCAGTTAAGTGAATTTATACGCTATGAAATACGGTATTTTTTGCCCATCTATTTATAGTTTCTTATTATGTGCAATATTAACTCCTGTAACCTGGAGAACACCGAAAGTAGCTTCAAGCAATTAATATTAATATTGTCATCATTATTCACTATTTGACAGGTGTTTTCTATTTCATATGCATCACATGTTGACACTTGGGATTATGGAAAGATCATGGCCATAACATCTAGTCTATTGGACAGTATGGAAGAGGTGCACCCACATATTATGCACCTATCAATGTTAACCTCCAGAGGGGGGGGGGGGGTCGGGCATATATGGGGGATTTGACTTTTTGTGCAAATTTTTTATCAAAAGCCCCACTGTGGGACTGGAAATCTAAGTCAAAAGTGATCAAATTCCCCATTGTACCTGTGGGACTGGGGCTGGAAACCTTAGTCAATTTGGACCAAATGTTACCAGGTAAGATTGTGGCACAACAAATTGTTCAATTCATACAATTATTAATTACCACCAAATTGTGTCCTTAACCCATTGAGTTGCATTGCACCCTGATGCACCCTACTTTAGTATTTTACCCTGTCTAACGCCAGACGATTTTACTCGTCAAGGGGAGAGCGCTGGCGCTTAATGGGTTAACTAGCGTATCTGCCGATGTGCCTAGCTAACCCATTGAGTTGTATTGCACCCTGATGCACTCTACTTTAGTATTTTACCCTGTCTAACGCCAGACGATTTTACTCGTCAAGGGACGATTTTACTCGTCAAGGGGAGAGCGCTGGCGCTTAATGGGTTAACTGCAAATATTAAAACAATTGATTTTCTTTAGTTCGTCAGCTAGTCAATTCCATACCCTGGTTGTTCGAAGTCGGAATGAGCATCAATGCGTTTTTGTTTTGCTCCTTGGAATGACAAGCTTTAATAGTTAATATATATAAGTGTTTTTAGATGATCTGGTGTCCATATAAAGACAAAAAAACAATACACAGATTGCAAAAACAACATGAACAGTTTTTTTTAAAACATTAACTCAATTCGATCCGCCAATATTAATTTCCGACGTATATGACGGGAAGATTAAATATTAAAGAACTTCACGAGTATTTGCAGTAGACATACGAAAATACCACCAAAAAATTCCGCTTGATCGATACTATATATTCAGAAATATTCATATAATTTTATTGTTTCTCGCTCAATTTCAAGCGAATTTCTTACCTTGAAATGATCAATGCGGTGAAATTTATGCAAATGACACATCAATTTTGCTGTTGCATTTTGAATGTTCCACCTGATTCAAATGCTCGTCTTTTTGCTTCTTTTCAACGTATAAAAATAACAAATATACCAAAAGAATCACCATCTTCCATTCTATAGCTCGGAGCAGTCTCGGGAAATTGCAAAATAATCTAAGCCTATTATGGCAATTCTCGTGATCGGAAAGTGTTCGGCCAACTTCAGACGCCAAATTCTTGGTAAAGCATTACAGTTTCCTGGTAAAAGACTGCAGGAATCACTTCCGGAATGTTTGTTTACCCTAGATACGGATTTTGATTGGCTTAGGCAGAAAAACAAATCTTTTAGAGCAATTTTCCTGATTATCGCGCACGGGAACGCACGAGCGTTGAAATGTATTGTGTTGTAGTTTTGTTTGAATCGCATTCTGAAGATGTTTTTGGCTTTATTTTGCAAACTGATAGTGCTAGTAATGATGGAATGTCTTCGTATGAAGACAAGTATCTCAACCTGGCATTGGGAGTCGTGTCTGGAGTTTCAAGGCAAGTATTTGTATCATTTCTAGACAATTTCAATGTTTTGCCGTTGCCATGGCATTGTAAATTTATTTGTATTTAGTATAGCTTCACTAGTACGACCAAGTATGTCCTCATATCGCTTTTTTGTGTTGAAATAATCGTTTCATACTGAAATTGACAAATATAAATGGTATTTATTTATATTGTTGACGAAAATTTATGGTGTTTTAGGCATAAAAATCTCTGATTCCTAGGCGAAGTAAAATGAGCCTTGAGCAAATGTTTGGTTGTTTGTTACATACATAATAGCCAGGTATTCATACTTACACAGGGCGAAAAAACAGATTTGCACTAGGCTTTGCAACCCGGTGCAAAGGTGCCATTGCCGTAATCGCATCAAATTTGCAAGGTTGCAAATATTTTGGCAAATTTAGAAACCAAATTATGGACGAAAATACCCACAAATTCACTTGTGCAAATGAAAGGTAATTTGAGCCAAATTTATCCTATACCCATTCCCTCTCAAAAAAGAGAATTGTATTTACCAATATGAGGGTAAAAATTTATTTACCAATTTGCTTTCCAAATTTGAACAAAATTTGCACAATAGCAAATTTGATGCAATTACGGCAATGGCACCTTTGCAGGGGGTTGCAAAGTTGGAGCAAATCTATTTTTTCGTCCTGTGTTATATCTTACTAGTTGGCTCTTATTATAATTTTAAGTGGCACCATGTCTATAAAAGTTTTTATTCGCACTGATGAATATATTGATCCTGTTCCTATCTGCTGTTCCTGTTTCATAGCCTCAGGGAAGTAGAGTTCTGATGAGTCATGAGAACCCCACTCACCAACCCAGAGGGAAGGTAGGGGGATGAGTAGAGGTAGAGGGAAGCCCAGCCATTAGGACCTAAGGTTTCGAAAGCTCCCTGTCTAGCATCCCCACTAGGCCACATAGCTACATGACGGATGTAATGATCCTGACGCCAGGAATGTTCTCCCAGATTTTGCTCCTCACTGACATGTCCGGGATCCATTTCGATCAACTGTGAGCTTGAGTTCATTCGGCTCAATGAACTGTGAGCTTGAGTTCATTTGACTCTTTTTTACTAAGGGAATGCTTCAGGAGGTAGTTTCCTGGCCATACCAATACATATGCCCACATACAAATAACTCAAAAGTTATCCCCATATACTAATAAAAAAGGGTCTTGCAGTCCACCAACCTTGAGAGGTTGATTGCCTTTTAGTATAACATGCAGGTTTGCTAAAGGTCGACAGTGAGATTGAAAATTATTGGAGTGTAAAAACCTTATATCATGGTCTGTGGGCAATAGACATAATTTCTCGGGTTAGGTACAAAGCGCTTATGGCGTTTGTGAATATGGTAGATCTTGTACTAAAGACTACAGCAATAAACTGCATCAACAACTGTACCAGCCGTCACAGAATATTGTTGTTGCAGACAAACACACTGTCAAATCAAGAAATAGGTTGGGGGTTAGGCAGTTCATGAAAGCTAGATGACCTACTATGTGGGGAATAAATCTGTGGGTTGCTGCAGACAATCCTAATGGTTATATTACGACTTTGAAATTTATACAGGAAGAAGTCCAGATATTCATCGCAACAGATTTGGGTATGACGTGGTGATCTGATATCAGTTTGGTTACAGTCTTAGGTCTTTTGTAGTACAATATAAAGGAAATATTTTCACCACATAATCCAATTATGTGCTTTGGCAAACATTACTGCTTTAGCAAACATTACTGCCTTGGAAAACATTACTTTTTTATATAACTAATTATGATGATGCCAGCCCAACAACACTTGGTCATGCTATTTGCAAATATTTTCATGTTCTAGATTGTGAAAACAATCAATTTCTAAACAAATGAGTAGTGATTATTTCAAATTTGAATAGCATGACCAAATTTTGAGGCTGGTTATGCCACTAATAACTAAAGTCAATGATGTAATGATTATCTAAGAATGTATGTAGTAATTGTAGAAATAAAGACATTTTGCTAATCATGATTTGAGTGTTCTTTTGTGGGTATCAGAGACTTATTTTGGTGCCATACTATCTTTGGAGAGTAAGAAATATTGGAAATTTGTATTGATAACATGTTGCAGCAATAAAAAAGGACCTTTGATAAAGGTATTTGTTTCATGTGAGCACAAAATGTAAATTTTACTCCACTACCTAGTTTATATAAAAATTCAATAAAAATATTTCTATTTATGCTACATGCATGAAACTTCGGGTACTTGTAGATCATAACCGTGTCTTTCAGTCATATTCATAAATTTTTTTGACATATTTGAAATTTGAACCGCTAAATACATTTATGCATAATTGCAACATTTTTTTATATCATAATTTATGCAAATTTATGCGAGTAAATCGTTAACCAAGCTCCGGATGGAATTGAAATTGGTATCGTTGGAAAGCAGAAGTCTTCCTCTTTCGAACGATGCAATTTCTGTTTCCGTGCGATGTATAATTTGAGAGATATAAGCGTTTGAAACAACGCCACTCGAAATTGCTACTTTTCGACCGGATGAGAATGAGTTAAACTGAAATACCACTTTATAATTTAAGCTTACAGTGTAAATTATTTCAAGCGTTTGAGTATGTATTAGTAATTAGAACTTCAAGGTTGTGTTATATATGCTATACTAAAAGCAAATGCGGAAATTAAGAGAAATACGCCTCCATTGTGTATTCCCTGTTCCAATTCAAGTCCTTTCTCTTTTCAGTTTAGGAGGACAAGCATATTATTATGTCAGTAAATGTGACAATAACACCTTATGGGTATAGTAAACATAAAAGCATAGAATCCTTTAATTACAAGATGGACAATGCCAAAGGTCTGGTAAAATTCCAGTCACATCGACACAACAGGCATGAAACCAATTTGCGCATGCATCGCATTCAATCCAGTCAATACTTTCATTGTCGTCGCCATCAAAATTGGGTGGTTCTTCCATGTTGATGCATAACATTGATCTTCTTTTTCTTCTTGCCTAACAGTTGGTCTGTTTTTTTTTACGTGTTACTGCAGCTTTTCGAGCTCCTTCTACTCGATTTTCCTGTACGGTCTTGAGATGCTTTAACCACATCATTACTTCATCAACGGGTAACAATACTTGCTTTGAAAGAGCTTCGACAACATTTTCATCTGGAATGCCTTTGTTGGTTTTAAATTATTCCAAAATAACTTGGGATGGTGGCTTGCAGATGGGTGTCGTCCCTGCAGTTTTTGCCAGAGATATCAGTTGATTGGGCTTCATGTAATGACCAGCACAGAATCCACTACATTCTTCACACTGATTGTTACCATAAGGTCTAGTCGGATCTGGCGTTGGAATAGGAAGATAGTTTATTGGAGGACCTTGTGGATACCATACTATCTCTTCTTGTACACCAGTCTGACAAATTGGATGGACACACCCTTTCTTGTAGCAACATTGTAAAAAGAACAAATACTGACCAGGAAGATTCGGTGTCATGGTTTGTTCTAAGGTTCCATATCTTCTTTATATTCTGAAAAAGCTCAGGCTGTTCTTTCTGAAGCTGCATCTTCACATCCTTTTTACCCTTAAGAAAGATGTTAACTGCTTTCCTCTCTTCCTGCTGTAAGCTGCTATCAGCACCTTTCCAAAGATTGATAACCATATCCGCACATGGTGAATGATTAACACGACTGATGTAGACATCTATTGCTACGTCCAGATTTTTAGGAAGGATTTCTTTGCTGATTTGCCCATTTTCTATGCAAGAACCATGTAGGGTTGATGGAATAAATGTGTTAGCATGACCCAGTGCCAGGCAACCGTTTTGTAATTCGACTCGATTTCTGTAGCTTGAGCCACTATTTCTGGTTGACACAAGCATTGCTCTACTTTCTCTCTCAAAATGCTGTTTAGTCCACCAATACTGCACTTCTTCATGGAGTGGGCCTTCGTCTCCCGAATACATTCAATTGCCTTTTGCTTTCCCGTTGTATGGTTAATGAAAGCTGGCTTCACTTCTTCCTTCTCTTCAACAACCATGGTAAGATCGGCATAGTGTTGAGCTGGATTCTTGGGGAAAAGTTTTTGAGCTTTCACCACACCAACCTCGCCAGTTGTTTCTCTCGCAGGAAAATTGTAGGATGTAGTTTGTAACACATATGGATACCGATTGACATAATCTATGCAAGTCGTCAAGGGGGGCTCATCATGGAGGCAAAGCGTTGCATGTTGTTTGTGTGTTGACATTGTATCCAGTCTAAATCCAGACTGATCATCGCGACCAAAATTTACTATATTGCTACCGTCTGTGTATTGGAGATCATCTAATCCTTGATAGAGCGCCGCATTCCAATGTACATCCGGGTTGATGGTCTTCGCAATATCAGGGTAATCTTTTAAAATTTTACCAACTCTCTTGCTTCTTCTGCGCATTAGAAAGCGCCTCTCTGCTATTTTCTTTTTGATACCTCTTTTAGCCTTCCTATGGATAGCAGCTCTTCTCTTCATTATTAACGTCCTACCAGCATCGTCCAATGGTTCACGGACATGAAGATATTCTTCAGGATTATCAGATTCCTCATCCAAAACAATCATACCATTAGTAATGTCATTTTGTTGCTCAAGTAATAACTGCTGTTCATGATACACCTGTCGTGATTGTTGAATTAAATTGTTATTGTGTTCACTAACGCCTAGATTAGGCAGTTCTGCAGCAAAATCTTCTAGTAAACTATCCATTGTATTCTTATCAATCTTTGGTTTATCCTTTTCAATCTGACTCACAAATTCCAGTCAGTTAAAGTCGCATTGTTGTAAAACAGCAATGAGATGATTAGAATCCAGACCATCATCGTTATTGTAGCTGTTTCCATCATGATTGTTGTCATCTACATCACTGCATTCATTGTCTGTCTCGCTTTCTTCTCCGCTGTCTGATTCGCTACTCTCATCATCTGAAATTCCTAGAGATTTCATAAGCTCTTTATCTTTGAGTTCTGCCAATTTCTCGATAACATTTCGAATTGCTTCAGCCTCTTTTAATGCTTCCTCTACTTCTGAAACAACTGACGTCATGTTTTCAAATTCGTACACCTTTGCTGCTTTTTTGTTGGAGAGACCTGCTGCACCCACTATTGCATATCTTAATCTTTTTCTCTCTGCATCTGATTCTGCTAGTTTTAGTAAACTTGTAACTGCATTTCGCGTTAAGTTGCATCATAGAATAAGAAATGAATAGAAGGGCAACTGAATGTCAGATCCTTTGAAGTCGGCGTCCTCACGCATGTCGTGTTGCGCATGCCGGAAATACAACGGCGGCCATTACTCTGGCCAGTAACTTGCAGCTGGAATCGATATAAAATATATGGAGTGAGAGCTGTGATTTGTTTTAAAATTGACATTTTGAGGATATTCGCTTATAAAATTAGATTTTAAAACCAAAACACCCAAGAGGAAGGTAAGTAGTTTGTATTTATTCATTTATTGGTCAAATAAAACATTTAATCGAGGTATTTATCAGCTACAAATATTACTATTAAATATGGAGTTGACGAACATTATTATTTATATATACAGTACACAATACAGACTATGTTTATAGGTTTTAAACTAGTGAATCGTTGTTAATCTTTGCAACTATCATACATATCATTTTTTTTTTAATTTTTCGGGTTGTCTTGGTCTTTAAAGCTAGTGTGAATACGTTTTTTTTGTTCAGATGTTGCAGTAATATTATATAGACTTGAGCATTTCGAGGGTTTTCATCCAGAGCAGAGCTGCTTTTTATGCACACGTGGTCACTTCCATGTGTTTATAGCTGTTTTTCGTGTACAAGTTTGATTGAATTTAATGTATTTTTTTTGTTTTTATAGAAGTGGCAAAGTCACTATCACAGAATAGGAAGTGAAGGTGGTCAGTATGGTTCCAGCACAGTCCAATATTCAATTGGATTTGTCTGAAAGAACCTTGGAACTGTTTCAAATATTACTAACATTCAAAGATACCTTTTGAACATTGGCTACAAGTTGATTTTATCTTGCATAGGAACTACTTAGTTCTGTACTTTATATTGTTATAAACAAACTTTCAACAAGTCTCAATTGGTATTTTAATAAGCACAAGTGTACGAGTCTAAAACAAGTCTGATTTGTTGCAATAGTTCAAATGCATATATTCAGTGGTGGACACTAGGGGGCCAGGTGGGCAATACCCCCCCCCCCCCAATAATTTCCGTAGACCTTTGACCATTTGTGGCTTAATAACTGTGTATAACAAAGCTGTGACATTATTTTTTGACCATGAAAGCATGGTACTGTAGGTTATAGAACTATATGTAATATTGCATGAAATTTAAAGCAAAAAAATTTATAAAAAATTAAGATCTTCAGGAACAAAAGGAATATATTATATGAAACCCATTCACATTCTACATTAAGAGCTGTTCATAAGAGTTGGGCTGGCCTGGTAAACCAGGTTAGCTTGCCTTTATACACTAGTGGAGGCAGGCTAGCCTGGCAAGCATTATGCAGAAATTGCAATATAATTTTGGATAGCTTTCTACATTCTTAGATTTATAGGTGTCTGAATGGCAAAATAAAGCATGTAACCACATTTGAATACAAACTTGAAATGGGGGTACCTAAGCAGCCTGGTCCATTTTGTAATGCCAGCACATCTCATATGGAACAGCCCCATATATTTGGTGTCCACATCTTGCATAATGTAATACTAGGAGAGAAATGAAAGAGTATTCAACACATTTTTGTAAAAAAATTTAATGTTTCTGCACTGCCATTCTGGCATACATATATTATATTACAAAGACAACACAATATGATCCATCATTTGACAAATTGGTCTTCAACTCTTCAAGAGAGTGAAACTTGAGTACTTGTTGCCAAGGCTTGAGCACGTCCAGAAGGCAGAAATTAAACTAAATGAAACAAAAATTATGACATGGATAATACTGTGTTATAGAAGGGCCACATTGCCAGCTTGACCTAGTCATGCTAGAGGCCTAAATTGCCCAGCATGGAAAGAAAAGGCTGTCCAGTTTTGTGCACAAATCAGTGATTTGCATGCACAACAGCTTATATTGCTGTCGAATCTTTTGGCACAAAAACGATACACAATTCCTAGAGCCTAGACTCACTGCCGTCCGGTGCAGAGGAATTGTACATTCCATACACTCAGGCAATTGATGTGTTACCTGTGTCAATGATTGTCAGGCATGGATGAAGTGTAAACATGGTCATAACTTGATGTTTGTGGTGTTACTCTGCGTGTGCATCCACACCGGGACAAACTAAAAAGTTTGCCTGACTGTGATGGGAATCGAACCTGTGACATTAATGGGATACCAGTCCAATGCTCTACCAACTGAACTACTAGGTTAAGTCAGTTCGAGTTGGTGATATTTTGGAACTGAGTGTGGTTCCTTCGATATCAATGTATTCTGAGACATGATACTTTTTGTGTGTGTTAGTGTTAGGAATCTTTTAGTTGCGTGTTTGTAATAGTTGTGTATTTGTATAAATATACATGAAAATACATCCAGATCAGATAAAATACAATATTTTTACTAATGATATGGAAACTATAGAATCGAGCACAAATGGGATACTTTTTTGTGATCACTTACCAGTATTTCATATACGCGAATTTAAAGATCAACAACATAAGACTAAGCCAGAAATGGAAATTATTAATAAAAGGATCATCAATGATTCCAATGTTAAATCATTTGGTAATACAATTAAAACTACATCATGGGAGGATGTAATTTCCAACAGTAATACTGCAGAGTCTTATAACGAATTCTTCAATAAATTCTCTACAGCCTATGAAAAAAATTTCCCATTAACAAAAAAAGTATCAAAAAGGAAATTTGACAAAAGTAAAAGTCCATGGATGACAAAATGCATTGCAAAATCAGTTAAAAAAAAGAACAAACTTTATAAGAAATTCTTAAATTGCCCTGTAATAAAAAATGAGATTATATACAAAAAATATAAAAATAAATTGAATCATGTAATAAAAATAGCAAAAAAGAAATATTATGAAGAACAACTAATAAAATACAAGCATAACACAAAATGCTTATGGAAAACAATTAATGAAATTATGAATAAACATAGAAACAATAGAATTTTACCAAAGGAATTCAACGGAGACTCTTCAGATGAAATCATTGATGATCCATACAAAATAGCAAATAAATTCAATTTTGTAAATATTGGACCAGGTCTAGCAAAAAAACTTCCAGACAGTGAAATAACCTTTGACAAATATTTGACTAATAAGAATAAGAATAATTTTTTTATTGAGCCAGTAACCAAATATGAAATCGAAATTGAAATACAAAACTTAAATTCTAAAAAAAGTCCAGGCTATGATGGTATAAGTTCACAAGTTATTAAGACAATTGCCAAGGAAATTTCTGAACCCCTGTCACACATATTCAACTTGACTTTCCTTAGTGGAACTATTCCTAATGGCCTAAAAATAGCTCTAGTTACCCCAATTTACAAAGCAAATAAAAAAAATGAATTAAAAAATTATCGACCAATTTCTGTACTCTCTTTTTTTTCTAAATTACTAGAAAAACTAATGTATAAGAGATTAATTAAGTTCATTGAAAAAAATAAAATTATTAACACATAGTCAGTATGGTTTTAGAGAAAATAGATCCACCGAGCATGCAGTCGTTGAACTTGTTGACAAAGTTAGTAAAGCAATCGATAAAGGTGAATACACTATAGGGATCTTTCTCAAAGGCCTTTGACACTATTAATCACAAGATTCTGATTCAAAAACTGGAACACTATGGTATAGGGGGAATAACACAACTATGGTTTAAAGATTATTTGGAAAATAGAAAACAAATAGTGAAATATGATCAAGTTAGGTCAAATGAAATGGTGATTAGAAGTGGGGTTCCGCAGGGATAAATTCTTGGACCAATTCTATTTTTGCTTTACATAAATGATATTGAACAGTGCAGCAAATTACTTTCATTCATATTATTAGCAACAGCGGTCTTAAATGAATGAACATAATTTTTAATGAGGATACCAACTTCACAAGTAGTGGTTTACAGAGGGGTCCTCGGACAAGTAAACATATACTAAAAATAATTAAATTACAAATGAAAATAACTAGATAGAACAAACAAGTCATTACAATTCAGTTTTTTCGAGGCGGTTCTTAAATGAGGTTATCGAGGTGGAGCTTTTTAAATCATCATCCAAACTATTCCAGTCTTCAGAAACAAAGTTTACCGTTGTCCAGTGACCCCACCTCCTCGAAGCCTTGTAATCAAACAAACTGAAATTAACAAAGTTACAGAATGGTTAAACGTCAATAAAGTATCTCTAAATATCCAAAAGACAAAATTCATTTTATTTAGATCTTCTAACAAAAAACCAAAACAGGAAATTCAAATTGTTATGAATGATGTAAATGTAGAACAAGTTAAAAGTACAACATTTCTTGGTATCATCATTGATGAATGTCTGACATGGAATGATCATATAACTAATGTTTCAAAAAAACTCTTGAAAGCTTCCGGAATAATAGTTAATAGTAGTTGCAACACAACCGTTTGTTATTTACTTTAACTGCCTTATCACACTGCATACACTTAGGAGCCCTAAGACGACCCTCGCTTGAATTACATTGCCTTGACTTACGCTCACCAGATGTAGTTGAGTCATTAGGGCCGGGATTTTTCTCAACATCTCCTGCTTTAATCAACAAATTGAATGATGCCACAGAGTTACGATATTATAACGTACGTTTCTTGCTATATCTTCGATAATATAACGTACGTTTCTTGCAGTATTAACTCCATGGAACAAAATTTTCCCAGACACACGATGGACAAGGATTTTATTTCGGACTTCCAGTCTGCCATTTTCGCAACTCTGATACATAAAATGCCGTGTAAGCGATAACAAAGCGTTATAGTTGTTTTTAAAGCATGGTGATTGCTTTATCTGCTTTGAATCAAACCACAAAACAGCATAAAACAATGTCAAATACAGAGCTAATTTTGCCCATGCAGCCGCCATCTTGTCGAGACTTTTATCCGGCCCATGCAGCCGCCATCTTGTCGAGACTTTTATGTTTGAAGCTGATCGTTGCGTGTATTTTAAATGGAAAAGACAGCATATAATTTCAGTGTTTCTTTATTGATTAACCTTTTTTGTTATATTAAAAAAGAAAGCAAAGTTGTTTGAATGCGAGAATTTGAAATCATTTTATTTCAAACTCTGAAAGTTTTTCGATAAAGGATTAAAGCGTTTTTTAATAAAGGCAGTTTAGTTTTATAAACAACATTTTAAAACGTCTTGCGAAGCGTTTGAAGTTGAATTATTTATATTATGAAACTTATATTACGTGTAATAACATACTTAACATATAGGAATTGAAAATTTTGTAATTAAGAGTGATATTTTTAAGGTATTTTTCATTTGTAAAAATATTGTTAACAAATTCAGTGCTCTCATTTCCCATTGCCTGGAATTCCTTAGATTCTCGGTAAAAATTTCCTCAGATTTTGTAAAATTTCCTTAAATGTGGAGCAGGCACGGTTTTTTGGTAATTCATGGCCTGAATGAGTGAGAATTACAAAGTTAGGTTCCCAGAATTTTTGTCTCATTTGGGAATTGGGATTTGGAGTAGCATCGTCAAAAGGGATTTCACATTGTTGGTGAAGGAATATCTTCCTTCGGAAAATTTTTGCAGTCCTGAATGCATAAGACTGCATTTCCTGCGTTTTTAAAAAGTATTTTTGGCATAATAACAGCTATATTGACTAATTTTTTAAACGTTATTTCAATATTTTCAAATATTAGATAAAAACTAAAAATTCCTTAGAAATTCCTTAAAAATTCTATTTCCTTAAAAGTCTCCTTAAAAACTGATAATTTCCTCAGTTTAAGCCTAAACTTGCAATATTCCGGTTGACCACATTTGCAAGCCTATTACTCGCCAAGTTTGTTAGATAGCTGTACAAAACTGTATATCATTAGAAAGCTTATTTAACAATTAACATAGATTCTAAAAATACCAAGGTCTTTCTAATACCTGTAATATTTATCCTGCCATCTAGTAATTAAACACAGTGTATGTCTCATACAAATCACTGTTAGTTGAGAAAAAATACAGCCTTACCATTTTAATCAAATTTTACCACTAAGAGCTATTTGTTGACTACAAAGCAAGTAGATTGTTTTGAGCGATGGAATTTTTTATGCTGCATGTAGTTTTTGCACAGCATTGCTGCAAAATTTTGGTTCGATTTTCTTCCAAAAATCCTGGCATATTTCCTCGATAAAATGGCAGCAATACAACATATGCCAAATTCTATCGCTCAAAACACTTATCATGATGAGCTCTATCAACACTGAAAATTTCAGGCTGTTTGGTCAAATTGGTAAATAATTATCTTTTCTCAAAGACGAAAAATACCACATTTCGGGAAAATGGCTATAAACTAAAAGTTATCATATATGAACTACCAACTGTTAAGATATACACTTTACTCTATATTTAGACAATTAAAATTGTGCTGGGCATCCCTCATCATACAATTGTCATGTGAAGTCATTTCTTTTTCAAAATTTACTTGTTTATAATAAGAATTTTTCTACCATTGCGTCCAAATGCTGTTATGTCTTGCATCACCATTTGGCTTTCCCGCAGTTTGATGTTTGGTTTAAAAGATGTTCCTGAGTGTTAACAGGACATCCCAATCCACTTCTCAATTGGTAGAGCTAAATTTTCCATAATTTTCTTTGCTGAACGCACTTGCTGCTAACAAGAATGTTTAAAGATGCACATGGCAGTGACGGCACTCATTGTGCTTACCAAAGGGACATGCAGACCAACATTTTAATACCACAGTTTTTTGTACACAATCAATTGTCGATACCAAATTACATGATTTGGTAAAATAAAATTATCTGTAACTGTATTCTTGTCCTATTGCTCCAAGTGGTTCATTCGGTAAACATATTCGGCCCAAAATAAGCTCTCAAACTTGGTATGCCTTGACATGTGATTACAGTACCTAAAATGCAGCACAAAAACAACCTCATTACACTGGCCTGTAGGCCAAGTGTCTTAAATCCCTCTTTTTCTGCTTTTTCCGTACTCGAGAAATGGAGTTTGCGTTAGCTCATCGCAGGCTCGCCTCGGTGTATAGTAATAAGCTCGTATTTATGTACGTAATAGTCGACTCATGCTTGTGGTACATGTTTCGTTTATTAGCCCATACACTTGTACGCACGCGCACAATTCCAAACTCCAATGGCGACTTTTCACAGAGTGATCAAACTATATTTTACACAGTTTCGTTGAATTTTCAAAGAATTGTGCCGGTTTCCTGTGGACATCCGTTATGTACTTGTGTTAATTTTTGCGTCGCACTCTGGACTTTCTTGCCTGTTGAATTAATGTTTTTCTTTTTGTATTTTAATTTATTAAACGACTCGGAAAACCCCAAAATTTCATAAATTTATACCCAGGAAATTTATACAATATATTGGAATATAAACAAGGACAAACTCTCCTAATTCCTTACGATAGTGTTAGTCAAATGTCGACAATATACCTTTAAATACTTGTATTAAAATCCGCGCAGTACTAAGAATTAAGAGAATTCGCGTAGCGCTGGCGGCTGGGTGCGTACTGCGCGAAATATAATCCGCGCGAAAAGCTTTGTGGTAGCTATACTAAAGATAAAGCGTGCCTTCAAAATACCAACAAGAACTAGAACCATTATTGTATGGTTCTCATTTGCTAGACTTGCCACAAGTCGACCTCGAAGAAACGCATTTCGTTCGAGGTCGACTTGTGGCAACTGGCAAGTCTATTCATTTGCCTAATATATAATAATATTTAGTTCGACGCGAATTTTAATACAAGTATGGTATCATATTTCATAATATAACAAACAATGTAAACTTGCCATACATTTTGCCGAACATAACTTCGGCCCCTTTGGACATATCTTTTTCGTAATAATATTATTGGGATCAGAATCGAAAACACTATTTATAGTGTGTTTGTGCGATGTTACTCTGAGTGTATATCCACACCGGGCAGGCTTGAAGAATATGCCTGGCCACGGCGGGATTCGAACCTACGACCTTTGGAATACTAGCCCAATGCTCTTCCAACTGAGCTACGCGGTCTAGATTACACTGATATCGAAGGAACTAGACTCAGTTCCGAAATATCGCATACTCGAACCGTCCTGACCGCGTAGCTCAGTTGGAAGAGCATTGGCCTAGTATTCCAAAGGTCGTAGGTTCGAATCCCGCCGTGGCCAGGCATATTTTTCAAGCCTGCCCGGTGTGGATATACACTCAGAGTAACATCGCACAAACATCTTATTCACCTGAGTACATTACACCAGCACAGCAGATTTCATGATTATTAGATTACACTGATATCGAAGGAACTAGACTCAGTTCCGAAATATTGCATACTCGAACCGTCCTGACCGCGTAGCTCAGTTGGAAGAGCATTGGGCTAGTATTCCAAAGGTCGTAGGTTCGAATCCCGCCGTGGCCAGGCATATTTTTCAAGCCTGCCCGGTGTGGATATACACTCAGAGTAACATCGCACAAACATCTTATTCACCTGAGTACATTACACCTATGGCGCGGTAGATTGGACAAATCGATGATTCGTCTAATAGATGATCATGTGCACATTTAATACGATGACTGTGCACGTTTAATATGATTACAGTGTACATTTAATATGATAATGACCCTTTGATTTGACGATCGCACACCTTTGATTTGACGATCGTACACCTTTGATTTGACGATCGTACACCTTTGATTTGACGATGGTACACCTTTGATTTGACGATCGTACACCTTTGATTTGACGATCGTACACCTTTGATTTGATCAAAGGCCCGTGAACTTTTAACAGCGGTTGTACAAACACAACCATCTAGCGCTTCAATTTTGGCAAAATGGCGTCCCCAAAAGATATTTTGCGGGATTGTGCTAATAACATTTTAGGACGCATACAAGGTAAGCGATTATTAGTGTATTTGCTATCATTCAGTTGTTTATGTGAAATTCTTTAAGGTGATGACTATTGTTTATACACGGAACAATTTTTAATGCAAATTGTTGTGCCGGAAAATTAAAATTCCGTGTTTATTATAAATATTTAATAATAATACACGTGTTTATACATTAACATTTGCATATTTAAAAGTCGTCATTCCGTGCAACATTAATTTTAGGGATTGTTTATTAGGTCATGTAGTAAAAAGGGAAACCTATCCTCTTTATTGTTTTCTGTACATAAATTCATCTCTATTGTACCTATACAAAATACTAACCCATTCATAGGCGTGCGAGTCAGGGGGGGGGGCAACTGCCCCCCCAAATTTTGAAAAACCATGGAAATTCCGGCAAATGCTAGGAAAAATCAAGAAAATTTGGGCAGATTTATCAGAAAATATGTTAAAATCAGATTATTTCATTACAGTTCTCCATAAAAATATCATTCAGGCAAACTTTCAACTGCCCCCCCCCCCGAAAAGATCAGTCCCGTTCTCCTATGAACCTATTCAGAAAGTCATCTCTATTGTTTTTCGCGTAAGGCAAAAAAAAATATGTGGGTTCCGGTTTCCCGACCCCACCTAGCTTTTGGACGCCAAAATCCCGACCCTAAACATTTTTTGAAAAATGGAAATTTGAGGCAATATTAGGGAAATTTATCTGTGAATGTGGAAGCACTGACTAAATAAAATGGCGTCCGGTTAGGAAAATTAAAAAAAAGTTTAAAAAAAAAAGTTAAAACCGACCTACCCTACTTAAGTTTTTACAAGAAAAAATAGGAAACCCACATATTTTTTTGGCCTTACGCAAAAAACAATAGAGATGACTTTCTGAATAGGTTCATAGGAGAATGGGACTGATTGCCCGAATTATATTTTTATGGAGAATTGTAATGAAATAATCTGATTTTAAAATATTTTCTGATAACTCCGCCCAAATTTTCTTGATTTTTCCTAGCATTTGCCCGAATTTCCATGGTTTTTCAAAATTTTGGGGGG